TTGTGACTGCTTACACTCCTAGTGTGACCTTCAACTAGTCATTTACATCCTCCATGCTCCACTGAGTAAGATGTTTTAACTTCTGCTGTCTTTGGTGGGCTATGAATGGGGCACAGGCAAGTAAGGAACTTAATTTAGACACTATATGCTTGTACTTATCTGCATCATCTCATGAGAGGCACTGAGACTGGAAAGAAAAAAGAAGCCAATGTTATCAGTGGTGGTAGTGGGAAATACAGCAAATATATTATTGAATTTCTCTTTTTCTGTTAAAATCAGTATTTTTAAACTCCTTAATAGAACTGACCCGTTGAAAATCCAGAATATTTGAGGAGAGAAATCTGAGACCCACTCCTATGCTCTTTCCTCCCTAAAGATCTCTCACAGCCTTGCCAAAGCCTCAGAAACAGCCAGAAGCCTTTCCACTGACAGTGATGTATTTTGGATTTTATATTCTTGGCCTAAGGCTAATGAAGATGCATTTCTTCTCAGAAGCACCCTTTTATTCTAGTGCTCTGCAATGAAAATGAATATCACACCTCAACTGCATAAGCTATACAGAGAGCAAAGGAGCATAAATGGAAACTGCTGGACTTAAGACTCTGGAGTTTTGTAGAAGAAATAGGGAGTTTGACCTGCCCTGGTGGGCAGACTTGTAAATAAAGGACTGTCTGAGAGACGAGGTGGAATAGATTGGGCTAGGAAAGAGAGGAGACAAAGGACAGAGTAAGTGAAATAAGGAAAAGAGCAGAATGCAGAAAGGCAGAATTTCTGCTGTCAGTCATGTGACTTCATGAATTAAACAGAGATGAACTGGGACATATGTCCTGAATATTATTATGAATTAAATGTTAGTATTGCTTTTGCCTGACAGGCACACAAGATGCAGTAGTGCCCCACTACAATATACACAAAACCAAGGAACAAAAATAATGGTTCTTGCTCTAAAGCTCTTTTCTGTTGATAGGCAATAATGCCCTACAAACATGCAACAGCATCTGAAACTTGCAGTATGCCAGCTGCAAACTGGGACATTTTCCTTGCTGCTGAGGAGTGCTATAACACTTCAATTTTTCTTTTTAAAAGTTTTATTGTAAAGAAAAGAACTAATGGCAAGAAAAATAATAAAAAAAGGAGTGCTACCTTTAGCACATACTCCTTATTGATCTTATAAAAACCACTCTGGATCCTTCTTCTACTGGTACCCACTCTCTCTTTTCCATGTTATACTAGGCTTTTGTTTACTTATCACTTCAGCTCAGAATGTCGCCAAAATTCAGGAAGAAACATTGAAATGAATGAATGAATAAATGAAAGAAATGGAATAGGGATCTGTTACCTGCTTTCTCTGTTTGAGTATATGATATTTTAAATGTCTGCTTTATGGAAAAGATTAGATTAACCTTGCTTTACTTTACTACTTACTGTGCTTAGTACAACTTCACGTCTATCATGGATACCACTCTGGGAATTAAATTTGTATGTAACATTTAATTAATTTGGATGTAACAAAAGGCCTGTTAGGACTTACTTCCTTCTGTCAAGCTGTACTAAGCCCTACTTATGCCCTATGTTTAGACAAATACATACAGTTTAGATGGATTGCATTCGCAAGCTGAAGACTTCAGCAGAGCAGTGTGTCTCAATCTCAGTTTGCACGTGCACATCTTCTGCTGTTGCAGTTCTGCTGTTATGGCAGCAGGGTTCTGAGGGATGCAAACTCTGGAAAGGAGCATTAAGAAATACACTTGCCTGATGTGTGTAGGGGTAAGTGTGGCTCTCCTGTCAAACTAACTGCTATCTAGCAATTTGTGTTGGCAAGCCAGTGTGCATCAGGATAACAGAGGTGGAAAAAACCCATGTAGAATAACCTAGAAGGCTGTTTTTATCACTTTATGGATCTACATACTGAAATAGGCAACATTTTAAACTCTTAATTTTAGAAGGCTCCAAAGAGGTGCAGCATTTTTCAACCAGAATGAACCCATTTAGTATTTTTCGAGAAGTATTTCCTGAGTTTAGGTAAAACAGTAACTTTTTTCTGGTCAGACTGACCAATAAGGAACTGACCCTGAATACTCATTTCTAACAGCTCCATGCAAATGCCTTACTGGAGCTACTACATTTTTCTGTGGTAACAGCAAAAGGTCTCCATTTTACACCAGAAAAATCAACATAAACTCTACTATCAGAATGGATTTACCTCTGCTTATTTATTTAGATAATTTCATTGCACATTTTCCTTATTAAGGACTCCCACAGCTGTCTCAAGTTTATCACACTGTGGAATGTATGAATGCTAAGAGGGCTTGTGCACACCTCACTCTTGGTGAGCGTGGCTGGGAACTGAGTTGCAGTACTCACTACAATACCAAGACACAACCAGAAAGGAGGTTTCTTTAAGCCAAGATAAAGCAAGACAAAATGTTTCTAATCAAAGCCCACAGCTGATGGTTTAGCAGAGGCAATACATGTACTGCCATGAGCTGGCCTTTGACAGTAACAAAAAGGCTCACTTCCCTCTCAGCAAATCCCACAGAGAAGATGCAGCCTACTTTCTGTCAGTTTGGCGTGCATCATTTGGGTAAGTCATGTGTCTATGCTACTGGAGAAACTTGTCAGCATATAACCTGTTTCCAGTGGGGATTCTGCTGCCTACAGCTATGCCAAGACCAGTGTCAGTATGGAAGGCAGTTTGGGGAAAAGGGACTATTCACTTCTCATCCATAAAGGATGAGCATTAGTCATCTAGAAATGGCAGGTCCCTAGTTTTAAAAAGTGTTCCTTGATAAGGCAGATAAAATAAGAAATGGTAATCTTTGACACAGTTGTGTCCTTGCTAGAGGATCATGGGGCAGGAGATCAACCCAAAACACAACCCCTCCCAAAGTTAGGGGCACAGGCTTCTATTCTGATAGAGGCTGTAATAATGCACTGAAACTAGAAGATACAGTCCATGGGGAAGACAATAGCAAGACCACGTGACCTTCAGACTTTGCTTTGTTGCCAGCAGAAATTACAGCTATACCAAGGGTGCTCTGTTTTGGGTGGTCACCCAAACAGATCTTTTTCCTTCACAGAACATAAATACTCTGGTCTCCTTGCTGAGCTGGCCTTTTTCTCCAGCTGGCCTGTATGAGAAATAAATGTTCTCCAATTCCTTATGTACAGAAGACGAATTAAGAGTCTCTGTCCTAGCCTACGTATCTCCATATACCCTCTAAAAAAAAAGGGATATCATGCATCTCTAGACACCGTTTTGTCATTCTTCTGCTCAGAATTTTTCTCACAGCAACACAATTTTTGAAACCTTTTCTACAAACCACGAATCTAGGAAAAAGAGATATCTCTTTCTCTTGCCTGCTCTGGCCAAAGGGTTTTTTCTTCTTCTTACCACCCTCACTTTCACTGTTCTGTTCTCACCCTTTCTTTTCCTGCATACCAACGGTCAGCAGTGTGAGCAACAGCAATGAATGGGGCTGGCTAGGAAGAGATAGGAGATGTTATTCTATAATTCCAAATGCCCTTTTAAGGAGCGTATTTTACCCTCAGTCTCTATGGAGCAACTCCATATCCAGTAGCATCAAATGCTAAAGTGAGAAGGCACATAGCATGCTGCTTTACTTACCTGCTCCACTGCACAATCTGCTGCACACTCACCGTGAAACGGTTTAAAAAACAACTCACCATTCTAACAGTTCCTCCTTTCACCTGAAAATGGAATTTCATTTACTTGTATTTCCTTTACCTGATCAAAGTTTTTCAGCCTTGATCACAGATTTTCTTAACATGAAAGTGGTACAGGTTAAGATCCAGCAGCTTGTGCCAGCTGTGGAGTACAAATGACTGGTAATAATCAATTTTTAATTTTTTTCTGAAATGCTGGGCCTAACCTTTTGTTATTGTTCACTCTGGCTACTTTCTAGACAGCAAGCGCTCTGTTAGAAAAATTGCCCTTAACAGTAAATTTAGTAAGAAAGAACAAGCTTTTGGAAGACTTGTGAGGCTACAAGATTCCTTGTTTCTTAATAAGACTAACTGACTTCCAGAGACCAAGAAGTTGCACTTGAAGGATATGTCATTGTCTGTTACTGCCCATCACCTTGACTCAACTAGCCCATGTCTTGACTGTGGACAAGAAAAAAAACACAACACAAAAACAAACACAGACAACCCTCCATGCTTAAGAACACAGGTGTACCATGAATCAACTGATAGGTACTCTGCAGAGAAATTAACTTCACCCATCACCATACAGCATTGCTATTTTACTCTATGGCTTCTATTAACAGAATCAGCATCCATTTGCAAGCCAAACCACATCTTGAGAAACGACTAGGTGGTACCATTACACTATACAAAACAAAGACTTGGTGTGAGTAAACATTCATTTTAGATTCTGTTACAGAAAAGAATTGGACAAGTAACTGAGCTTTCCCTACACCATACTTTGCACAGCTCTTTTAAACTTTGTTTTTAAGAGTCTCAAAGAGTGATACTTCAGAGGGGTATTTCATACGGTTCCTTTCATGGAAAGCAAAGAGAAAAGCAACGCAGACATGAAACTAAAGCCATTCACCTCGCACAACCATTTTCCACTTTGCCTGCATACAGCCACAAAATACAGAGTACTAGGACATTCCTGACAGACATCTGCTGCCATACATTTTACCTTTTTTTTATTATTATTTTATTTTTTTTTCCCCCCAGCAGCTAACATCCTGATTATACCTACCAAGAGAATGGAGATTTCAGACCATTACTGACCCTTCTGCATCCCTTGGCTTATGTGAAGTCCTGTAGGCTGTTCCAGTCTTCGGAAGGTGCCTGGGTCCCTCCACACTGGACAAATATGGCTTTTGATCCATTCAAACTAAATACTTACTAGCCTCTTACAGGCTATGCTGTTGCATCTGTTACACTGACTCCAGCAGTTTCTCATTCTCAAAATAACAGGACAATGAAACTTCAAGTATGAGGCTAAAATGAGCATATCTTCAGTAAGTTAAAGGTACGTCTTCTTTATTTAAAAATAAACATCACCTCCCCAATCCCACATTTTGTTGTAATCATTTATAACACCATTTTAGAACTCTGATCAAAGGCAGACTATTAAACAATTTACCCTTGTTTTTCATGATAAAAAGAAAACACGTAGGGTCAGGTTTCAAACATTACAGCATTCAACAAATTTTGCTTTGGCAGTTAAGTCAGTCCTCAATGCTTGCTTCACAACCTAGTGAGCTGGGCAGCCTTTGGCTTTGTTTATTTTTAAGTTCTACAGGCAGCAGTATCCACCATTTCTGAGTCCAACCAGTTTGTTCAGATAATCAGACAGGGACTGATCTCTTTGGAAAACCAGTTTATAACTTTAGATTACAGAAGATACTCTTTGAACAGTTCTTGTTCACATGTAATAAGTCTGAGATTGTCACCCTTCTTTGTATGGAGAAGGACTTCAATTCCCAAACACTAGGGTAGTTCTCAAGAGAATGAATTACAGGTCACAGCCTGTGTATTTCTCTCTCTTTTACATTATTAGTGTTAACAGCAGCAGCAGTGAAATACTGCAAGTACAAGAGGCCTCTTTACAAGGATACAGGTCTATCCATTCTGAAGGACACAAACTACATATCTTGTTTGTAAATTAGGGTGAACTAGTGGCAATAAACTGCTTCTCTTCAGTGGCTGCAATTGATTTCTGCTTATAACAGACTACTGTTATCTATTCTGTATTTATGCTAAATTCAAATGAGAAGGGAGTCTAGTGCAGGAGGCACCTTCCACTTACATTTTGCAACACACAGGAACTTGAAACACCAAAGAATGTTTGCTAGCCAACTTCCAGAGGCTGACAGAAGTAATTCTAAGTGTAAACACCACACAAAGCAACTGGCAATTCTCCAGGAAATATACCACTTTTACTGATGATTTCAGATGATTTCTACCTGTCTCAGAAAGAAAGGGGAAGGCAAAAAGAAAATTAACAAGAATCAATTTAAAAAAATAGTGCAGAGGCTAAAACATTGTCAGCTTTTCCAGTGAGCTAAAAATATTGTATATAGACACCAAAAGTAACTGCATGCTGTAGTTCACAGGCTAAAGAAGGATTCCAGCATGACAGAGGCTCTGTGCTTCCTTCTCTAGAAGTTAGTGTTATTAACACAGATACATTCATCAAATCAGAATAGTGTGGAAATAGGATTGGTCATGCTGTAAAGTGGATCAGGTATTATTTATTGCTTGTCTAATAAATCTGTCAAGGAACTGACTTGCATTTACCCCTTCAATGTTCTAATTGAGAAACAAGGGCCTAAATTAGATACAGAGAAACCTGGTTTCTGGGCTGAGAGTCGCATTTTCCCCAACAAAAACAAAACACTGCCAACCCAATCCAATTCCACCCACTATTCCAAACAGACTCAAAAACCAGGCAGTCCGTTTCCATGCTCATTTCACAGTGCTCACGAGTCCTCCCTCATCCTTCTGTTCTTACACCAGCTACTGTGGCGCACTGAGTGGGCATGTGCGTATGCATACACATGCGTGCATAGTGCTGTAGGAAAAAGCTAATGTATATGAATGAGAAGATCTTTCACTTTGGAACATTAAGTCTGGCCACACTGTCAGGCGCAGGCCTAGAGAAGGGAGTGAAGGATTCTCTAATGAAGAGTTATTATCCTGACCTTTGTGATGGCTGGGTGTCTGCTCTGCATTATTCCTCACACCAGCCTAAGTGCGAAGATAATAACAGTGGATGTAGTAAAAACCAATCACACCCTTTTTTCCTTCTTCTGAGACAAAAGGAATCAAAGTTATCTGTTAAGAGAGGAGGTTTCTATTGTTCTGTGGTACCTTATTAACTTTGACTTAAATCCTGACAATTTTCCTTATGTCCACTTCAGAGGCAAACAGGCTAAATAAGCATGCAAAGGAGAAAGATTGGACCAAAAGGATCTATGCAGATTTTTTTTCCCTCTGATCCCTGGAGAGAAGCATTGCCTTTGCAGAGAAAAGCAGACACATTGTAGCTGCTTATGGGACTAGAGGAGTTAAGGCCATACATAGCAAAAATTTGACTCAGGCATCATTTCCCAAAGGAGAAATGTCTTTAGTCTAAAGATGCATGGTACTGCAGATATTTTGTCCCCAAAATTCTGAGATGTATTGAGATCAAAAGGTAGGCAGAAGAGGTCCCCTGAGGCCCTCTGAAGGGTGTCTGACAACACAGACTCTCTCCAAGGGAAGAGATGGTCCCTGGAAGAAACTAGCTATCAGCACTTTGGATTAAAACTAGTGCGACACAGTGAGTTATTTATTTTTCCTAATAAAAATAATTACTATTTTTATTATTTTTACTGTATTTCAAGCCTAAGGAGCAATAAGCAGATAAGAGAGAAACAAGAGATATGAAACATGGAATTTGAGGAGCATGGTCCAGTGATGAAAGAGAAATGAGGGGCAGGAATTACAATACCTGAGTTCTTTGCCAACTTTATCGTCTTAGATGCTGTGAACCATACTGCCAGCTGTGATGCCAGTAAGACTTTTAATTCTGAGTAAATTGTTTAGCCTCTGTGTTCAGCTTTGCTATCAACTGAATAAATCTTGCCTGCTGCCCTACTTGGAATTACATGAAGCACAAAGCCTGGGAAGATCTTCTGTATTGAAGTTAATTGTACTCCCTTCTGTGAAGGTTCATGCTATGCCATGAGAATGTGGCTTCAGATGTATTCAAGTGCTGGAGCCTGATCTGTGTATCAGTACTCAGAGGAGAGTGGACTCTTCTCTTTCCTTGCCTGCAATAGAAGGAATTCACCTCTTTGTGAATATGTGAAATTTACTTTTAGATACCAATTTTCTAGAGCATGCAGTTATTTGAATGTTTGTTCCTTATAAACAGAGCTGCAAATGCTGCTTTCATTCATATATTCCTTTTGTGCTTTTGAATGGAGTCATTTTTTTCCTGCAGGAATTCCGAGCTGCCCTATGTTATCTTATGTTAATCGTCACTCTCACAGACATCAGCCAATACATTTCTTCTGCTGAGGCAGTAGACTTAAGGTTATCCCCAACATATCTCAGAAAACAATTTTTCCCTCCTTAGCAGACGCACAAAACATGTTTTATGTCAAAATTAGAAAGAGACATTTATGATTAGCAACTTGTAAAATTACCTTTTCCCTTTAAAATGATTTGCAGGGAAAGAACAAATTGAAGTCACACTTCAGATGCACTTCTAAAACTTACCAACTCACCAAGTGATTGACACACTTTAAGACCACCTTACTGTGCAATCTACACAGTTCCTCCACTGCAGAGAAATGAGGGGAACCAAGATTCTGTTTCATGATCTTTTTGGTCTCAAGTCCTTTTGTTACTGCAAACTCATAGATTAAGATTTTCCTAAGTAGTGTACTTACTGAGGAAACATCCAAAATTGTTAGCAGCTTTTGAAAGTTGTGCAAGTAAGTATTATACATAGTAGATAGCTGATATTTCAAAGTAATTTGACCAAAGTAACTTATTATGACCCTTGAGAGAGTCAGTCATGCTTTACCTGGGGACAGCTCATGCTCTCTCATGCTATGTTAGTCTTTTTTTTTTTTTTTTTTTTTACGTAATCCTGTGTGTCTGCAGATCTCAGAAGACCTACAAAAGGACAGAAAGTGTCATTACTGTTACCACAAGTGAAACAAATGATAACTGCATAAGCATGATGGCCAGTGACTGATGAACAAACAAGGAATTGATCTAGGCTCTGCCTTAGTCTTTTCACACTTAGTGTGAAAAAAGTTTATGAAACTGACAGAGAAGACATTACAGCCAGTTATAAATAAAATTAGCTCAGGTTATTACATGCTAACATATCCAAGGAGAGGAATTCAGCCCTTTGAGGAACAACTGTGTTGTTTGTAGGTGTTAATACTGCAGTTTCAGGTATAAATAGGCTTGGGGGCATAAAGTATGCTAGAATTTTTTCTTAGAGTGCCTAGTAAAAATAGAAGCCTAGTGAGATGCACAGTTTGGCTTAGTCCCTATTGTCAGCTCAGTTTCAAACCTTCTGAGTAGCAGAAACAGCAGCTCCACTCACCTCAAGTGCTTCTGCATGGTCAGAGATCCTTTCTGCTAATCCTGAACACTTAAGACTACCTCTGCCATCAGAAGAGACCAGAGCAGCTAATACAAGGTCCTTCAGACCCCCCTCCCCCTTTTTATTTATTTATTTTTTTTAAGAGAAATGTTAATTCTGGTAAGGCTGAAGTATAAATAGGAGGATTAGCTCTGATTGTTAGACAAAATAACACTTCAAGAGGCATTTGAATATTTTGGTCTTGACTAAGCAGCATGCTCTTGCCTGGTGTGAGATGGCAGGAGGGCAGTCCTCATAACCAGAGAGGGGAAGTAGGCTGACACTTGCTTTATACTAGTGAATTGATGCAAAACAGCCAGACTTTACCCATGGCCACACTCTCGGGACACTCCACATATGCAGAATAGGAGCGGGCAGCAGGTTAGATTTCATTCACCAGTAAAAATTGTTTCTGTTCAAGTCAACAAACCACACTGCTAACTAGTGCCTGCTGAAGATCTGCATATGGACCTTGTCAGTATGCTAAAAGCCCTTCGTACCTTGTTTGCCATACAGCAATTCTCCTCTAGAAAGTTTCCTTGTACAGAAGGCAGCTTATACAGTCAACTTCTCTCCTACATGCACAATCCTACCCATCATCAACAAATATTCTTTATTAGATACACAGCAAGCTGATGACAGAACAAGTCATTTTATTCACTGAGTCAATTTTGACACTGAAGGGCACTGAACAGCTGAAAACATTATAGGGAATTCCACTTACAATGCCATTCAGAACATCAGTGGTGCTTTTGTTATTTCTAAGGAGTGCTCAGACAAAATAGCGTTACCCTTTTGAAAGAATCAGTAGCAATGGGAAGAACATAGCTAGCAAGGTTTACATAAAACTAACAGTCATGTTATGCTCAAAAGCTTAAGTTTATTGCTCTATTTAATGACTACCGCCAGTATTTTTAAAAAGAATGCCAGTTCTTCCTGCTAGCTTCTCACTGAAGGAAATATTTTAAATACAGCAATAAAATCAAGTGGTTTAAAGATAACACATTTTGCCACACATTCATGCAAACCCTGCTGACAGGATTTTTACAGGTTCATGGATACAGAATAAACATAAAGGATGTGTACTGAAATACTGGGAAGCTTTCTGCACAGTGATGAAGTTGTAGGCATAACATTTCTGGCCCTACCCTGCACCTGCTGATGTCAATGGCAAAACCTCAGTGAGAGCAGGATCAGCCCTTACTGTTCTGAGAGCTGCTTTCCCTTCTCCTGATAACAAAGTGCAGTAAGTTCAGAGAATCTTCTGCACCAGCAAAAGCAGTGGGTTTTGGTTATTGTCACAAATAGAGAAGCAAATTATTTGCAGTAGATGATTACAGCTTCTATTCACAAAACACTCATCTTTCATGTAAATAGTCCTATGTACCTCCTTTTTTCTCTGCTCATCAGAGCACTGAAACATGTGCTTACCTCTAAGCATTAAACACAAACTTCAGCCTGCATAGCCAGACTGAGGGCTAAAAACAAAAGCATGGGCAGTAGTCTGTCAGTAGTCTATTATTTTAAAGGAAATGCTGTTGCCTGGACTAGTGATTATAATGGGCTAACAATTGTCTCAATTGGGTTTGAGGGGAAACGTATCAAAGAACAGCTAACAGATTTAGGCTTTTTTTTTTTTTTTTTTAAAGCTGCCTATAAGATTTTCATTTCTAGTCATACTAGTCTTAATGAGCACTGGGCACTCAGTTACTCTCAAAGCATTGAAACAGGTTTAAATTCAGAACACAAGTGTTTCTGTTATTCATTTTTTGATAAAGATGAACTCAATTAAAAGAATAGTAATTCCTCACCTTAAATTCCTCAAATTTCTGAGGAAGTTGTATTGGGATTATGATTTCAATATGCAAAAAGAGAAAATACTTGCACAAGTAAAATCTGGCTCCATGTTGAGATGCCAAAATATTGACAAAGGAAACGTAAAATATGAAGAATTCAGATTAACTTCTCCCCTATCAATCTCAGATTCACCCAGCTGTAAGGATACCAAGGTATGTTGCTGGTAGGAACTGGAGGCAAGAATTTCACTCACATCAATGAAATCATTTTTTTCCCTTTAGTTCTGATAACACTGGTGGGGACTGCTTTAAAAAACAAACCAAAACAAAAAAAAAACAACAAGCAAACATGACGTGTGAAACATTTCAACATGAATCTACTTGAATCTTTCAATGCAGAGGCTCAGAAGGTTTACGATATACACAGTATTCGGTAATTTTATATGTAAAAACAATCAGAAAGAGGCAAAAAGTTACTTTCAAGCTTAGTCAACATACGGCACATTTCAGCATGACAATTCAAAAAGTTTCACACTGTATTTGGATATAATAGCAATTATCTTTTAAAAATAGCAAACTGAAGACTTTTTTTTTTCTTTTTGATTTTGTAACAAATGAAGCTACTATCCTTATTTACAGTATAAATAAGCCTTTTTTGGTGAAGATTATGTCCTGTCACATATGTTTAAGACAAGGCGTACCTCAGCTCTTAAATGTCAATGCAAACAAGAGCATAAAAGCAATATCAAAGTAAAATAATATATCTTTCTCTCCAGCTAAGACAGCCAGGTTACCATGCATCTCTTATCAGATCTGAAATATATCTGAATGCAGTCAAAAGTTCTCTTGGTTTTAGCCTTTAGGAATATCATGAACACTTATTCTTCTGCTGCTCTAGAAAGCTGTTTTCCGTACAAGCTCATGACATGATGGACAAATTGATACTGTTCACAAGTCTGGATCATTCCTCCCCTGAAAAGGAAAGAAAAAAAGGGGAGGGAAACAGTAGCCTTATTACATGCAAATAACATACTAGGAAATGGCACAGCTAGCATGAAGCTGGTGTTACACACAAAAGATCTATTCCAACATTTCCTGAAAGGAGTGAGAAAGCACCCATTGATTGTAACCAGCTTGCAGTCCAACCTCAAGCTTTGTTCTGAAAGTCTCTGCTAACTAAGGAACAGAAACAAGTCAGAACAGGATAGCAGAGGCCTGAATCCAGTAAGACAATGCCATCATCATTTGCATATATGTATCTGGCTGTAGCACCTGTATTCTAAGCATCATTTTAAATGTGGCAAAAAGCAACCCATACCTCAAAGCTCTACACTGACAGATATGAGATGGGGGAATATAAAGAGGTGAATTAGCTCCTTTCAGTCTTCACAGTTGCACTAGGGACTGAATTCAGGAACAAATTCAGGACTACAGAGAGCCAGGCTAGCCCAGAGAACTGATGCAGCACCCTACTTTCCCAGTCTGCAATGTCTTTGTGCTGTCCCAGACTGTGTTTTTTTGAGGGGTAAGATCACCAGCAAACCAGATGATTGAGAGCAGGATTCAGGAACAGACACTGTAATTTTTACAAAGGAGAACTCTAACTATTACCTGAATTGACTGCCAACACACCTTGACTAGTAAGAGACTCCAAGAGCAGAAATGTGTTTTGGTTCAGCTTTTACTGTTCTCTTTAAACCTGCAAATCTGAAAGGAAATGCAAGCAGGAGCAGAAGCACAATTTGCTTCTCTGTGCATCATTAACCTGTGTATTTCTATAAGTACCATATTAACGAACACAAATACTACAGTGGGAGACAAAAATGAATGAAAAAGAAAAACACCTTAAATTTTGCTAAGAGTACCTCATAACAGTGATATGATCTCTTCATAATTCATTATGAAAATAATTAAAACCTGTAGTTCGAATTCACAGGTTTATACAAAATTGTGCCAGCACTAGTGCTGGCGCATGGATCCAGGGAATGTATTGCCAAAAGGAGTCTGAAACAAGTGGTGTTGAGGAACGTGGGAGCCTGGGGGTGGCCAGTGCCAACCAGACTGTGTCAGCTTGAGAAAGAGAACACGTGATGACTTCCTTCAGAAATCAGAGGAAATTAATGGAAAGTTGCTTCCTCTGAGCCAAACAGGCAGCAGACTGGTAGCACCACCCTCAGGAACTGCCCTCTTCTCTGAGGCCCAGCTTAACAATTGTGGATCACACAGTAATGCTACCAGAAGGTAAATGAAGGTTCAAGACAACCTCCTTCTTCAGCCTCTTGCAGTTACTTTGCTAACAGAATGCTTGAAACACACTCTTAACAATGAACAGGAACCATGCTCCAACCTCTCATCAATGAGCAAAGGGTGGGAAACAGTGTGCTTTTAAAGAAACTATTTCCCAGATGAGCATCTCTTCTCCATCTGCTCTATTTAACACAGGCTCATGGTTAATTTGAGTCCTTCTGTGCCATGCACAGCACTGAAATATATTTATGTCAGTCCACGACACACAAGGAATTTGAGTCGTATCTGGTAACTTCTCCCCATTAACAGCAAGGTTGGACCCTGAAGTTGTAGCAACAGAAGCACTAGGGTGGCCATCAAGTTTCAGACCACAGGAAGTGATTTTCCATTTTATCTCGTTCCCTGTTCTGCAGTAGCTTCCTCCCCTTCCCGCACGTGCATACCACAGCATGTACTTGCAGTCCAGGCTTTGACACAGAACAGAGATATTACTCTTTCACCCCTGCTTGCCACAGGAACCTTTCAAATTTGAGTTGCATTCTGGGGAAGGACAGCAAATGTGTCTCAGCACTGCGGGAAGGATGCAGGAACGATCACTTCCTCTCCTTAGTCGTACCGTGTTATGTTAGGACCAACTGTTGGCCAGCAGTGCAAAGCCCAAAGCACAGTTTTTTTGCAAAGGGAATCAGTGAAGGAATGAAGGGATTTTTCACTCCTTGAAGAAACCGTGTTTCCCTACAGCAAGGTGGTGATTTGACTGCTTTCCATCTTGAGTATTTCCTCCCATGAGATTAAATGGCTTTTTCATATCCCACCCCACTAACAAGAGGTATGCAGCAGCAATAGTGGCCCCTGAAGGCTTGCTTTTGCTCTGTTGCATCCTCCCTTCTCCTGCCTCTACAAATGACTGTCAGTTGCCCTCTCCCAGCAAAGCAAGTATTTTAATCTGTTTTCTGTGCCAAGTATGTTTGTAAACAGGTGTCTTTGACCATCATTTGTGTGGCTATTTTCCCATGTTATACTAGTCATGGACACAAGATATATCAGATCCAGCCAGATACTTCACAGGGCCATGGATAACCAGCACTCACTATTCATATTTTGGTTTTCTTTTTCCTTAAGAAGTCTTTCCTTGTTTGGCCTGAAATCCATTGAAATAGCCAAATCTCCAAGCCCCTGCAGGTCCCTGTCTATCAGAGCCTCAGCAGGGCAGCAAGCATTTCATTTTCTGCCTCCCACTGAGCATAATTTCTCCTCTGAAATAAAGTTCAGCGTGGGGTTGAGGTTCTTTTTTTCCTCAGAAAAATCTTTGGTATGTTTTTCGTGACATCTCTTCCCCCGACTACATTTATCATTATCATTAGAGAGAGCACTGAGACATGTTTTGATGGCACTTGAAACCAGTGGGAGAGGAAAAATAACATCTCTGGTGCAAAATTCAAGTCTGTTTACTTCATAATCAAACTCAAGGTGGTGTGTTAAGAAATACTTAACTGGAAACCATTGAATTTCTGGAGATTTTCACAGCTCCTTTCATATGTCTGCAAACACTTCAGCCTGTGCATGCTCGCCCCCTCCCCACAAAGTCCCAAGCAGCAGTGCCCTCCCAACAGTGCTCACAGCTCCAAGTACATGAGGCCACTTTTCCTTATGGGAGCAAAGAGCTGATCTACAGTTCTGAAACAAGTGCAACTTTGATCCTTTGCATCTGTATGAACGTGAGGCCAACTCCTCTGCTGGTGGAAGGTCATTCCAAACCTGCACAGCTGCACAGATTTGGATACCAGCTATGAACCTAGCTATGGATGTTTGTTAAAATTTACTGCTCTCATACAACAGGCAAGACAGAACTGCTTAGAACAGGACAACTTTGTTCCAGGAATGTTCTCCCTCTTCCTGTTTTGTCCTCCTTAGGTAAAGGGAAAGGTTACCAATTTTCTTTTTCTTTTTTTCTGGAAAAGAAACAGGTTTTCTTACCTGTCTAACCGTAACTGGCAGGCTGTTCGCAATATGTCAACTATGCCCTCACTCTTCAGCTGTTTACAACAGACACTAGTTGCAATAAAGCAGCCTGTCCTCCCGATGCCTGCACTAAGGGAGGGAAAAGGAGAGAGAAGCAGTGAACAAGTTAGAAGGGCTTTGGAACTTCATGGCACCCATTTAACAGGAAAACCAGCAGTCAAACCCCATTATTCCTTTCCTCCCTCCAACCTCTGCCAAGTGGGTGCTTGTGAATATGAATGGCTTCAACAGGACAACACGATTCAGCAGTTCAGCATGAGCTGTTTGCATTAAAAGCATGATTATTTCACACACAGTGCCAAAAAATAGACTACCACATACTGTCTTACCTAACATGCCATTGAATTTGCCAAACTAAGAATATAAATAGTATTTCTTGGTTAGACTTGCTTTGAGATCAACCCTTGCTTTGAGGGCAGCCTTTGCTTTGAGATTCTTAATCCTTACAGCTTCTTTTAAAGCTATTTTTCATTCATAGGTACAATGAAAAAGCCCCCCTACTTTAGTAATTCAATTTAGCTAACAGCAATATGATAAGTATGGTGCCATTTGTTATCAGTTCTGCAATCTATTAGTTCTCTGAATTAGAGTAGGATACAACAAATTCACTATTAAAGAAGCTTCACCTTTCCTGAATATCTCTGTATCCAACTCAGTCCTTGCTTAATGACCCGAATTGATTTTATTCTCAAAGGCACAGTGCTACTGAAGCTGTGAATTCTTATCACCTTATAAAAAACAATGCAGCAAAAGCTGACAGCCCTTCTTATATGTTAAATAATTAAGTGAGCATCCTCAGGAATAATTACCTGACACAACTGTAAGAAATCCTGCTTCCATTTAAATTGTGTTAAAGTCATAACACAAAAACACTGGCAACAAATGTACCAGCAATAATGGAGTCTGCAGATAGCTGCTACTGATTGACTCCTAATAGTGTTTTTCTTTGATTGTATATAATTTTTTTTTTTAATTCAGTATTTATGCTTGTTACGGAAACTGCATTAGCAACAACTAAAACAGCTACGTTGTAATTGTTTTAAGTTGTATTACAGAATGATTGAGGCAATTCAATGGAAGTTTGGTAGGCCATCTTACTCCCTAAGAGCTAATCCCAGTCTTATAGTCAAATAACTGTGATGGAGGTACCTACCTGACTTCTTTTTCCTTGTCCCTAAAACTCTGTGCCTCATGTCTCAATTTATCTCCTAGTTTGTTTATCAATACTTCGTACATTTCAGTTTCAAAATACTCTTTGATGCATATGGATGCACATCAAGAGACAAAAAAAGCCCCTCACCTTACATTTGATACCATAATCAAATAGGCTACTGTACGCATCTCTTGTATGCTGCTTCCCATCCATAAATCTCATTGTTGTGCAAAGGGAGGGTGTGACATTTTCAAAGACAAACAGCACCAAGAGAATACTTATCCCAGGCCAAGCTGCAAGTTCGTCAGTGGCTGAAAAAAAGTCATAATCCTTTTAAGACTGCCACACTATCCACAAGACCTTACCAAGACTGCTAGCCTCCTTTAACTTCACATTGCTTTTAAGAATAGCTTCATGATTAGGCTTGTACTTATTTTTTTATTCAAGGTGGGTTATTTTACATCACTGAAGGCCAAACCCACCAGATTATGTTCTACTGAGGACCTCCCACAGAGGCCAAAGGAGATGCAAGTACCTTGCATAAGTCAGGCCTTGACTGATGGATTGCTGCACATACCACTCTCAATTAGAGGCATCAGTTTAAATTCCTTCTTTGGATAAAATGACTGCAACTGAGAATAATCTGAAAGGGCTCTGGTCCCCACCTATCACATAAAATACTTCATAACCCTATTGCCATGCCTCCTAGTGTCTCTTAGGTTTGGTTGTTGTTTTTTTGTTTTTAAATAAAAATGCCCTAATTGCCTCCAAATGATATCCAGATCATGGACGTGACACCATACAAGAAGACAAGGCAAATATGCAAAGCACAAATGACACAGTGGTCAGAATCTTCACCTGCAGCAAACACCATGCTTCTTCAATGAGATTTTTGAGAAATACAGATATCCAAGGGTAAAGGGGATCTTGTTACAAACCATTCATTATTTTTCTCTGAACTCTCCCCTGTTTCTCAAAATCCATTCCAAAACAGAGGCAGAAAAGTGGACATAAGACTTTAATTATCTACCCATTCTACATACAGAAGGAATGACAACTCTGCATTTCTTATTTAATTTCCTTTTCTGGATTCGGAACTGCATTTAACCTCTCATCTTCAGCGTTATACAGGGAGCTCATATACAACCAATGCAACCTCCATGTTATTTTTTGAGACACCTGCTTTCCAGGAGATCATAGCCCTAAGCATGATATCCATTTTTTTCCTGACATAGGATCTTGTCAGTAGCTACATTAAAATGCATGTTCTAAGTAAATAAATCAAACAATCAAGATAAACCTGAAGAGATCTGATTATGACTATTCTATTAATGATTACTCTCTATTTGCTTATAGGTTGATCTTTGGCAACACTGGAATATGAAACATTCGTGCCAGTCTCTTTAAAAAAACCAAACACTCCTGTTATATGATAATATCTCATTTACTATGGCTTTTGATTAACAACCATCTGTCATTTCCTAAAAAATGTTATGCAAAATTAGGTGAAATTCCTTACAGAAATCCCCAAAGTACATTTATCAAAACGTATTTTTATTGAAATAATGGAAAATTATCCTGGCAGTACTACTGCACCACTTATCACGTTTTTTGCAATTTACCTGGAATAATTGTTTTGAGAACTGACTTGTTGTTTTCAAGTAATCACATTTAACCTTTCTAAACGCTAGCAAAACAAGACTTGCTTTTGTTCTCCAGAACTTCTGTTTTTCTTATTGGTAAAACATATTATTATTGAAGTTAAGGGTTCTTATTTTTCTGATTGCACGTATCTTCTATGATCTTCCTACTCAGTTTCATTCAGTGTGTTCATTTTGGTAAAATGGCCCTTTTAAGGTTACTGAAGACATATATTTCTGGTAAGACAAATGAAATGAGACTTATTACTTGTAACTGAGCCACCAACAGCTCAGACTATGTGCATGATAAAGGTGGAAAGAGAAAGCTTGAGTTTAGGAGCTCCAAGAATATTTAAAGCAGTTGGACCAGATCTCTTACGTGTCTGACTGATGGCCAATACGACAGTATGCCACTGTATGCAAAGGAGCCCTTCGAAGTTGAATACATCATTTATTTACCTGCAGTGAACAATCACTGGGGCATTCTTCTCTTCTGCACTCTGCATTACCTCATCCACTTCCAGCACTAGCTGTAACAGAGGGGGAGCTTGATCTGGTGTCTTCTGGTCTGGCCAAGATGTGTACCAGTAATGTTTCAGGTTTCTGACTTCTTCTCCTTTCTGCAACCCAGTTAAGATAAACATCACAAAGGGGTTTTTGTTTGTTTGTTTGTTTTAAATTTAATTGTAAAGTCACACTGAAACCTGGCTTTCCTTTAGGAACGCAGTAAGCAAATCAGTGCTAAAAGAAAGAGGAGAACCAAATGGTGAGCAAAGCAACATAAATCTGGACTCTGAAGATCAAGTCTGCACTTCAGCACACTGCCTCAAAAAAAGGAAGAAAAACCTAACCTCCCCGCCCACCCCCGAAGTACTCTGCTCTTTTAGTGCCAAGAGCTGTGTGCAAAACAGTCTGCTCCCTCTTGACAGATTCATTCAGCAAAACCAGAGCTGTACTTGTGACATAATTGCTTTCATAATATATTTGACAGACAGAGAGCCAGGAGCCATATCTCTGTCTTTGATAGCTAGCTAGCTAGATGAGGGATAGAGATGGGAGCTTATTTTTCTCTCTTTTCTGACAGACAGACTCTTATCAGTTTCCTGTCACTTCTCTTAGACATGGTGACAGATTCAGAGACACTGGAAGATGGGAATTGCATCTAGTTGCAGTCCAGGGCTTTTCATGAGACAAATTCTGATTGCCTCTATCTCTCAGCATATAGCAAATGTGTCTTTACCTTTTCTGAGTGCCAAGCAGCACTCTGTGCCTCTGATTTTGTGTTCAAAGTGACATCCTTATGCCTGATTCCTGAAGGTGCCAAACAATAACATGGAGCTCAGGGAATTGGCCTTACCCTTTCAGCCATTACATAAGCCAACTGGCACAGGGCTAAGCAAATGGCTTCACAAAGTCCAGGATCTGAGGTGTTAGTTTCCACCACCTTTCCTTAAACACGTCTGGCTGAGTTCAAGAGATGAAGGTAGAAAAAAGAACAGATTTGATTCTTTCTAAAGAAAGAGATGCAAAAATCTAGAAATAGTTTCTGTCACTGAGGCTGTTAAGTCCCTATGACTACCAGCTGATGTATGTTAGAAGTGCTACATGATTGCCACCTTCCACCATTCTCCTGGGTTGGCAAAGCTTTTCATAGCTTCACTTGTAAACTGGACTGTGGAAGTCATCTAGTTAAATCTTTTCTCTTTCTCTCATAGGATTAATTTTCACATGGATCAGCTTCCCCTCTTTGGGTTACTGCACATTCTCACAAATGCTTGTATTGGACATGGGAGATGGAACAGGGGTAGGAAACAAGAGAGCTGGACAAAGAAGGCCGGGCTTCATTTAGTTGTTGCTCCAGCTTACGCTGTGTTTGAAGTGCTCATTGAAGTGCACAGCCACAGGAACCTTAAGGGTACATCTAGCTCAGCTGAGAAAAAGAATAGTACTACTGTACCACAGAGCATGGCCCTAGATTATTTACCCTTGTCAGAAGATACTCTGGTTAAGAGAGGATAACTAACTGGCATGAACAGCACTTTGAGCTCACGACAGTAAACCAGATCAGATTTCAACACTGCTCTGAAACATGGATATGCACAGTTGCCTTTCAACATGTGACTATGTGTAAGCCACAGAAGTTATGAGCACTGTATTCTTAAGTGGGTCGTGAAAATTGCAATTCAAATGTTGTCAATAAAACTCAGAGAAAAGTAAAAGATTAAAGTCATCTGAAGAAAAACATGAATCACTACATAAAACCACTCATCTGACAGAAACAGAAAACAGCCAAACTTCTAAGCATGAACACTGGATATCTTTAGTTTTCTCTATGCTGTTACCAGTTCTACGATTCTGCTTGTAGAACCTTGTATAATTTTGATTTGACTTTAATAAAAATATTCTTCACTGGTGCTTCTTTGAGGCTGAGAAGACTTGGGATAATTCTGAAGAAACTCTTCTGGAAGAGATTGCAGGATTTTTATTGAGCAAATTGCTTTGTCACCGTAACTGAAGTGTGACCAATTCTGTGAGATATCATTATTCCAGAAGAATTAAGCTATATATTGTTCTTGCTGCTGCACTGTATTGTTTGGGATAGGTAGTATTTAAGGTCAATGCAAGTCTGCAGTACACTTATAAATATTCTTCCCACTTGTTGGAGAATGTGATTTTCTCCTTGCTGCTTTCACAAAAAGCGTGAGTGACAGGATTTCCACACTCCGTCCAGACCTGGAATTTCACATACTGGCTTTCTGCCTATTAGCATATGGCTGAAGAAACTTGAAAGTGGTTGGATAAAAGGAAGGATTTTTTCAGCTTGGAAAGAAATTGTGTTGTTATATTGAAGTCAAGGGTATATCTGGTATATTAAATATGTATTAAGTTTATGTAAATAGATGGTTCTTATTAAAGCATATAGCTTGAGATTCAGGAACCTAGCAATGAGATCAGTTGTAAAATAAGACTGGTATTTTAGACTAAGTAGCATCCAAGTGCTTAAGTAAATATGCCTTTAAACTCCCTATCCACAAGATGATAGAATGGTTACCGGTATGTAAAATTAGACAAATAGCTGGAAAAATACTATGTTTAGAAACATGAGCAGAGAGAATTCTGTGGTGAAAAGTGTTGATAAAGGTCATCAGCAGTTTTAATGTCTTAGAGTGAATGATTCCTTAAAGCATCTTCAAAATCAAGTCAGTCTTGTGAACACCAGGAGTGCTACCACACCACTATTATGACAAGCAGACCACTAGTCCAACCACTGCAAGAAACTGAAGGCAGGAAAGAACCATGAAAAGACTTTTGGTCAGTTCTCAACTTCTCCATTTCTTGTTAGTAGCACAAGAGTCATCTTAAGCATAAACAACTGGAGATATCTAGCAGTCTGACAGCATTCTAATAATATTCATACATAGACAAAAAATACCATCTAAATGTTTTCTAGGTGTCTCCTATTACAAAATATGTAAAACTCCATGCAAGTAAAAGATTCCTATTAGCAATCAGTAATGCTTTGACTAAGCCTATGGCCCAAAGAATACACAAGCCTTTGAATTCTACAGAATATCATCACAGTGTTCAGTGGGTTATTCCGCAAGCACTGTCTGTAGTATGACTTGCAAAGGCTGGTAAGATGCTATCATGCTGAACTAACATGTCACTCTAAGTGACCAGTCATAGAATATCCTGAGTTGGAAGCAACACAACAAGGATCATCAAGTCTGACTCCTGGCTCTACACAAGAACACCCAAAAATCAAACCATATGTCCGAGAGCATCATCCAAATGCTACTTGAATTCCATCAGGCTTGATGCCATGAACACTCCCCTGGGGAGCCTGTTGCAGTGCCTGATCACCCTCTCAGTGAAGAGCTTTTTCCTAATAAGAAAATCAAAAACGTGCATCTTCATGCCATTTCCTTGGGTCCTGTTGCTGGTAACTGAAGAGATCGATCAACACAGAAGACACAGGCACAGAATGAGTCACTGATTTCTTCCACTGAGTTAACTCTGTACTGCTGAAGTTGGCCTGGAAGTTTTCAGATTGTACGCATATGGTATAAATCTTGGATTGTTTACATTATTGTGGTATTTGTATGTTGGTGAATTGGACAGAGCAATAATGACTGCAGTAGTTAAAAGTGATACTTGTACAGTAATTTACTGTGCAAATATTTCTACACAGCTCTCTATGAAGGCCTGTTTAAGGGTTTATGTAGCAAAACTATTTTAAGTACATTTGAATGATTTACCTTTAGGGTGATGAGCCTTAAACGGTAATCATCTGCTTGTATGACTTGGTTAACTGTGATTTCTATTCCTTCGTAGGTGACCTGTTCCTCTGGCCAATATTCTGTGCATTTCTGTGTGCAATATAAAATACATCTAGTCAGGCAGCCATCAAGGGAGGTTCATTTTTACTCCTCTGAAATTGGATTAGCGCATGCATAGATGAATATGAATGATGGTTGTTTCTATAATAAGTACACATTTTCAATTTCTATACAGGGACCACATTTCTGGCAATTTTTGCTGCATTCATAACAGCTTGATTGCATGATAAAAATGCACAAATCAAATAATGACTAACCACTGTTTTTAAATACACACATCCTTATTTAACTTTGTGCAATCGATACACATTTTGAAGTTTCACTAGAAAGGCCAGCAGCAATGTGCTTGTGTTTATTAATAGCCCATGTGTTCAGATTAATTCTTTTCTTAATATAATAATGATTAGCACAATATAGACTAGTTGCCGCTATTTCTGTGGTGTGTATAAATGGATACGGAAATACAAAATAATTTTTTTCTACTTTTGGTAAAGGGCCATTGCTCTCTGAATATAAGATTATTACCTGCATAGGTTTTTGTACAAAAGAACATGACTGGAGATGTTTGGGGAATTAACTTGTGTACCAAAATCCACTTTAAATGGATGTTGAGGATCTTACATCAAAGATAAGGAACAAAAAGGAAGCAATAGCTATGGGATTTATCAGACTGCTACGTTTGATTTTGCCAAAACACAACCAGAGATGCAGCCAGAATCGCCTGACAATTAAAGAAGCTGAAACCACGGTCCATTTGCAAATCTACATCATGGTACTGATACTCTGCACAAGTAGGTGGGGATCTGTAACCACTCTTGTCCTGGAAGGACTGAAAACAATTGTGTTTTTTGTATGCAATCGCTCTTTAAGCTAATCAATATGCAAAAGAAGAGACAAGCACTTCAATGCGGTGTAGGGACAGGTCCATGGACAAGGAATGACATGAACAAGGCAGTTTCTTATAAAAAGACTCCCCTGTGTTAAAGCAAGAAACAACCTCTTGTTATCCTAAGAGAATGAGAACCTGCTGCTGGACGGACCCAGTTGAAGAGGATGGTTGCATGCTTTCTCTTCTACATGGCAGCACACAGTCTTGAAGGAAGTGAGTTAAAGGTGTGTGTTGCCCTCCCCCACCAAGAGTAATTCCATTTCAGGATAAAGACTAACAACAGAAAAGTATTCTGCAAAGCTACTGAGTCAAAATTTGTGTGTAGGAGAAGCAGTGCTGTTCCATCTGTATAGCGCATCAGTTAATAACCCACTGGGAATGTGGCCCACTGTGTCTCTGTAAAATTATTTACGCAGATCTCATCTTTACTTCCTCTCTTCTTAAACTGCAGAATCCATTGTAAAAATTGTCAAGTGCGATAGCATCTATCAATAGCACAGACGTTGCTCTGCTTCAAGGAGTGGAGTAAGATTGCCCACTCATTTCCGTGGGCTGTCTGTCAGTTCAGATTAGATGCGACAGAGGGCTGAGATACAGAGCTCTTCATACGCACATTAGCCAAGTTGTTGCATTGAGCAGGAACACAAAGCCTCTGTTACTAGCATCATGGCAGAACAAAAGTTTTGGTTTTAAATCTACATAATTCTGAAGTCCTGTTATTCATATATTAATATGTATTATGGAAAAGAGGGAATGAATATAGTAGACATCCACATGAAAGGACTTACCCTGTATTTACGGCTGAGATTCCCGACACCTTTTAATTTTTGATACAAAAGGTATCAGAAAAAAATCAACAGTTCTGTTATAATATAGAGACTGTAGCTAGCTCCACTCATATAGAGCAACACCACTGCACTGTGCTCCTTTCCAAGACTGAGATGATGGATGAAATACTTTGTCGGTGTGGATGAGAGAAAATTCAGATATAAAGGTTATTTTACATTCCTGTTATATGAAAACTATAGCAGAACTTCTCAGCAAATACATCATTCAGGACCAATGTTTCCTCTGCTTCTTTTTCTCTCTCAAACCTCAAAGTCCTTTAATGATTTGGGTACACTATGTCACAATATTTCAACATCTTATTCACCATAACCTGCCAACTCTGATCAATGAGCAAGTTATTCTTTCAATGCTGCCTGAGATAAAGCGGATGTGAGGACATAAGTTTAAAATGTTAGTACAAACAAAACATTTAGATTAGCAACTTTTTTTTTTTTTTAAATCAGCAGTGCCCTGTGAGCATGTGTCCAACTGGCCAGCTGCAATTATATATTTTTTTTTGTGTTGCAAAGCATGGTAATTCTGTATCTGTCTTATCCATATATATATATATTTTTTTTTTTCACTAAAATTCAGTCTAAAATGATTTACTTCACAACTGGGGAAAGCTAAAGGTTTGTGAACATGCAAAAATTATGGGCACTCAGCTTCCAGCTAGCACTTCAGGCTATCTGTATGACTATATTCTCAGTCTTTTAAGTGTCTGAAATGTCTTCTCCAAAAGAAACGCTCTCAGCTGAACTACTGAGTTTCAGGGACAAGCTTTGACAAATATTGCTGCTGCAGATAGGAAACACCATTTCCATTTCTCTACTACACTTTGCTGCCAGAGGTGAAGGGGGATGCAGAGCTCAACACAGGCCCAGACCATATTCCTACATTCTACTCTGCCAATAAAGGTGACAGAAGATCAGCTACCGACCTGTAAACTGAAGCCCAAGCACACAGTTCTTGCAACTCTGCTATGGGGTAAATTTTGCAGTAGGTAAATTAGTAATCAACAGCTGCAGGGCAGCAGTATTTATAACTGCAAACAAAAATAACATTAGGCAGATTACCAGAAACACTGTAACAATTTACTTTCTAGAAGTACCAATTCCAGAAGGTTGTAAATAGAAAATTTCTGCTTCTTAATTTCAGTATTTCAACAGCATTTCCTGGACATATTTGAGGAAAAGAGCCTCCATACCCAAGTCAGCTCTAGCTGTTGATTATTGTAACTATCTTTCACAAATCAGGGACAGCCTCTCAGAGAAGTGGCTATAGACAATGAACTATAATAAATGCAAGATTGAAAAACATTGATGTTGTTGAAGACTAAAACAAATAGGGCTAGAATACAATTCTTTCTGATTCCTTTGGAGACAGCTTTAAAGCATGTCTGCAAATAGAGCTGGGTTTGGAAAAGCTTCAGGTCAGCAGGGAGACAAAAAAAATAGCAGAACCAGCAGTAGGCTAAGTCAGACAGCAAAACAAGACTTTCACTAAATTGAACTGAAAGAAAAGCAGCTCACCTCTTCTCTAACTCTGAAGAATTTAATTCTAGCTCTGATTGTTTAGGCCAGAGAACTAACTTCTGTTCACTTATTTCTGCAGGCTTTGCATCTGTGCCAAAAATATCTGCCAGAGTACAGATAAAAATACAGACTATATGTAACACCATTACCTCATTCATCTCTTCTATATTGGTAATCATGACAATGATGGGAGAACGCTCCTGCCACACCATTCTCCAGAAATCACTGACAGTATTAACTATTGGTCCCTGAGTAGCAATATATACCTTTTCCACTCCTCCATAGCCCTGCCAACAAAACAACAAGAGAACAGTTTTAACAGGGATGCCCACCACAACCTTGAAGGTTCAGTCTTTTAAAGCTGGTTGGAATGAAGACACCGTGGCATCAGTTCTTCTCCCTTCTCCTGCACATACGCACATGGAGCAAAGGCACAATATGGTCTCATAACTCCAGCAATGAGAGTCCAATAGCCTCAAGGTGACTCTAGCTAGGTCACAAACCTTTTTGAGGCTTATTTACCAGGGCCCGGATCAGCCAACTGACAAGCAATTTGCATCAAGAAGTGCAGAAGTGTGCTTTTCTCTGGTTTGAACCAGTGCAATTGAACTTTGAGATTTAGTTTTCAGTTAATGTAAGCAGGAGAGAAGAGCAATCAGATCAGCCACGATGCCTTTAAAAGCCAGTGGATGTTGCAAATTTGTTTACATTAACAGTGGCTGATAGAGGCTAGGCAAACATATAGGACTGTTGAGCTCTTACCCTGATGTAGTTAGCATTGATGTAAGAGCTAAGGGGGTCGTCCTGATCAGCTGAGGTAAGGCACACTCTGCTGTGAGGATCTGAAATGTGTAAAGAGATGAGCAATAGTTTATCATTTGCTGATAGGAGAGAAAGAAAGACACAGGTGTTTGTACAGCGAGACATTTAGATGCATTCACGGCCATCCCAATACATATCAGTGGCCTTGGAAAGATCCCATGCTAAAATGTTAATACAGAGAAAGGTGAAGGGTACTTGGGGTCATTTAGCTTCCTCTGATAGTTTTACCCACTCTGAAGCCTGTTGAATTTTTCCTATTACAGTCAGTACCCCAGAGCAACTCTGGGAAAGCATCAACTTTTCTGCTCCAGAAAATTATTTCTCAGTCTGTTGGGTGAATAGATCCATCCTGGCTTGTAAGACATTATTCTAATGGCAGCAAATGCTTTTTCTCCCAAATCATAAACGTATATTTCTTGCATACAGGCAAGCCAGCTGAGTATTTTTTCCTCCATTTTGTCTTGCAATAAGCTAAAGTTCGAGAAGTGCTATTAACAAATGTAATGGCTGGGGAGAAATTGAAGGTTATTAAACAGTCCTTTTGCACAAGATATTTCAGTACTTGAGGCCCTTCCTCTTTGGGACTGTTTATGAAGCATTATTCTTGTTTTAATAGGACAACAAATGAAAACATGATTCCATCTGAGAACCTCAGTCTAGCTCCCACTGAAGTCAATGGGAGCTGTTCTACTTGTTTTAATGCAAGCTTACACAGGCCCATATTCATCCATTATCACCAGTACTCCAGTTTATCATTCACAAGAAACATTCTTCTGACAGAGGACCTCAGCAAACATTAACAGTGCATCACCAGGGGAATATTAGAAACAAACCACAGATAACATCTTCATTAAAAAAATGAGACTGTTCAGAAACCAGAACAAAATAATAAATATGCAAACACAGTGTGATATTGGATCAAGTACAGAGGACCAAACACACAGCTGTTCCTACTGTACTATAAACAGACTCAGCATGAAACACTGTCCTCAGACAGAACTAATTCACATAATCTATTATGTGATAATGAAGTCACAATATCATGTGATCTACAAAGCAAAGATAATAACAGAGATGGTGTTTAGCAAAACAGAAATATGGAAGCTAGCGAGTTCCTCTGAAATACAATTCCTTCCTGCTCTCCTTTGCTCATCTCCCTAGTGCTGGGGAGATGATGAGACAGGAGATAATGCTACACTACAAGGTGACATCGTTTGCCAGATGTTTATTTAAATGTTACTGTACTGGTTAGTGAGGCCCCTTGCCTAAGGTCCTTTTGTCTGGGTTTTATGCAGTCATCCACAGAGCCTGCTCAAGTTTGAGTAATGATTACATCATTTCCCCCTTCTCAGAACAGCAATAATACCATAATACTATATTGTCCAGCTCATAGTGAATCTCTAGGGACAAACAAATTGGATTGAAGAACTCTATCAAGTAAGTTAAGTGCCACAGACTCCTAAGCAAAGGTTCTTTTTGGTATTCAGCTGCAGTTGAACATGAGTTAATTCTCAGTGTGGACTATTACTGCTGTGGCCACAAATATTAAAATGTTATAATATTCTTTAACTCCAAATTACGATACTTGGCTTGTGATTTTTCTGTTAACCTATTTACATTTTTACAGTAGTATGTTAGTGAGCAGTTCTAATCTTATTTCATAGAAGAGAAGCTTCTTAATGCATTGTTGATAGAAGAATTTATACTGTTTTAAGGAAGCATAACTGAGTTAAACAGCCTCTCTTAGAAATGTATAAACAAGAATAACTCATTCTTTTCAAAAGTCATAACGTTTTAATATCATGAGAGTTTGTGGCATTAATTTCAAATTTTTTCAAGACAGAAACATTTAAGTTAAATCAAATCCTACTCTTAACAAAAAATGTTCTTCCAGGACAAAACTAGTGCATAGGCCACGCTAAAGAAGACACTATATCTATTAAAACAAACAAACAAACACACACACAAAAAAACAAAAACAACAACAAAAAAAACACAGTAGTAGCCTGCATCTCTAAGAAGCCAAACAACGTCAGCTATTTTTTCCCACAATCTATTTTATGGACTTTCTGTATTTATTTTAGAGGAATTGGCTAAACTTATTGAAACGTTTTGCATAACTGAACATGGCATAAAAGCAATAAAACTGTGTAGAAATTATAAGGAAAGCCTGTCTAGACATTACTCTTCAGAAAAGGATTCAAAGAGACTGACACGCAACATGCCACCCTCTGGGATCCTGTAACAAGAGCCTTTTCCATATAATCAAACAGTGCCTTCAAATATCCTAAAGAAAAGTCATAATTTTCCAGGAAATTCCACAGGACTTTTCCCAAATAGAAGATTGCAAATAAGTAACTTCATGTTTATGAAATAACCACATCAACCTTGTTAGCTCTGCATTTTTCCAAAAACACCTTTCTGCCATCAGAAAGCCATCTTCTAAGCCATTTTACTATCAACAGTGAAATGTGAGTATCTGCAAAAAGAATTTACTACAAATGAAATACAAATTAGATGAATAACAGACTATTATCATGTCTCTCACTTACTACAATTAACTTGAGGGTTGCAAGCAACTGATCATCATGTTAAGTGACTACCTTTTAACAATAACTGCCTAGAGTGCTTCTGGAGATGCAGTTGGTGATGGAATTTTAATTATTTCTAGGGTTTTCGATTTTGGGTTTCACTCTGGTTTGGTAATCAAGCACTTGCTGTTCCCTTGGATAATCAGTTGCCTGAGCCTGCTCTGCAGCAGCTTGTCCAGTAGTTCCTGTCAGTAGTGCTTTCTGCAGCTTGGAGAAATACTAAGTGGATACACAAGGCAGCACAGGCAACATTTGGTCAGCTTGTAAACTGGTAAGTCAGTGGATGGTCAAAACCCAAAAAGGACTGGACTCTCCCTCATCTTGCCTACAATTCCCTCGCCTACTTCATGCATGGACACTTTACTGGGATCCTTAGATTTAAAGCATAAAGGAGATAAAAGTATAGTTTTTGCACTCCTTGCTAGCCTCTTTACTATCAGCACCGTATCCTTCAAAATGGGGGTAGCTGAACAAAGATGAACCCAGTCAGCCCATTTCTCCCCTCAAAGACATCAGGCCATCCTCTGGCCACAGCCTGGGACATAATTTTGCACAGAGACTGTGGTTTTAAAATTCATTCAAGAAAAAAAAAATCCATATCATAAAGAGCTTGGAATAAGCTTGTTAATCTTTGGAGGCATGGTAGGGTAGAAACTAGTTATCAAGAGAGGTCAAAGCAACAGCAATGGCTGACACAGATATCCATAAGGCTGAGATAAAGTTTGCAGCAAGTAATTAACCTGGAGTGTGATCGTTCTTAGAAATATATGGTAGCATGTTGGCAGTTATTGACATCTCAGGAACAGGGTGTTAAAAATGGCAGCAACTATGAGTCTAGAAATACAAAATGGGATATTTAAAATGGATCCAGTTCTCAAATGCACATTAAATACGGAATGTGGAATAGACAGATCACTTTAAAATCCAGCAGTTTAGGCTTCTATAATCAGCAGTAGCTTCTGCAATCTTCCCTTTCCAGCAAAACCAGCAAATTAATACTTGAATGATTCATCACAATAATTAGCACAGAAATCGTAAAACATCTGGCTGAATGTTTTTATGCTTCTGGTTTAAGGGGGAATGCAAAATCATCGAAAGGGTTGTGCACATTGAAACATTAGCTGCAGCTGAAAAAGTTGTAAATCTAGGTTTAAAAAAGCATAAAACCTAGCCTGGAACCATTTCCAACTAAGGTTCATTTTCTAAAATGACAAGTATAGCTGAGGACTTTTTTTGACTTCTCTAAACCTATCTTTACTAACCTGACACTGAACCATTTGGGCTTTGCAAGTATAGCTAACTCTGGTTAGTGGTGGCATCTTCCCACAACGGCTTACAGCAAAAATGAAGCATGACATCTAAATGTATTCATTTTCAAGCAACTTAAATTCAGACATAGGAGAAAATTATACATACAGAAACCTGTACAAAATGTTTCTTGGATCTCCAATTCTTGGCTACAAATAATGCAACAGAAGATTTTGATTTTCTCTGTCATCTTAATGCCATCAGACCAGTTTTCAATACTTTCTCTCTGTTTGCATTTGAGGTACGATTCTGAGAAATATATTGCTCAGTAAAATAACGTTGATAGAATTCAGTCCTTCTAAAGGAGTTTATCAAAGAAACTACTAAGTAGCTTCTGAATAAACACACCAAATGCCCATGTAGAAATTTTAAACAGAACCAAATGATGTAATTCAATGTAATTCAAAAAACCTAAGTGCTACTGATCTTCTGTCAATTTTAGGTTGTTCATGCTCTGTACCTCTTTTGAAATTTGATTTAGCTTTGAAGCTATGTTGCTGCTTCATAAATACAGCCAGTGGACAGGGTAATGACAGCCCACTTGATGTATCCTGGAAAACACACCAAAGTGCAAAGCCCTTCAGCATGTGGAATAGACCACCCTGCATTAGTGATTAAAAAAAAAAGCAGGATACTTACTTGGGAGAATTGTTTTGTAGCGATTCTTCCGCACCAAGCCTGGAATATCATATTCCTTTGGATCAACAAAGTTCATTGGAATTTCCTGCTCAAAAAAAAAAAAAAAAGCAAACAAAAAAACCACAGAGTAGATTGTATTATTAGATTCACAAAAGGAATAAAAAAATCCCAAACCCATTATGTCCTGCCTGTGAGGGAGGCAAAGTGATGAAGTCAAACGAAACATATGGTGCTGTACTTCTAGCAATTTGCCACCAATATATGATTGATGTTTCCTTTTACTGTCACTGGCTTTCTTTTCTGAAATCCTTAACATGAAAACGTTCATAGTGACTAATTCATTGAGTAATATGCGAGACAGCATTATGTTAGCTCCTAATATTATTAGAACTGAATTGCAAGTGTAGGCACAGAACTAAGTAAAAGGTAGTACGTAAGATTCTCTGCTCCAAAAGCGATGGACCTCAGACGCCATCCATTCTGACTCACATTTCTTCTTCCTCCCTGAGGGTGGAAGGAAGTAATTTGCTAGTGACTCTCACCAGCAACAGATGACGACACACACTATGACAGGTTGCTGCATTGATCTGATACCATGGAGCTGGGCAGGAGCATTTATCACTCATTTTGCTCACTGCCCTTTACAGCTCAATGGGCAAGGACAGCAAAGAGGTGTTCAGGGATTACCTGCTCTCTACACTACAGCCTAAAGAAAACAATAAAGGAGAACCTTCTTATTCTCCAGTACTCATATCCTGCAATTAAGCGGACAATGCCAGACAGGGACAAACAAAAGACCCTTCCACCAACTGGAGACACTAGACATGTGATAAGATGGGATGTGTAAATCAGCCTCAGCAGAGAAGCAGCTCATGGAGCTTAGGAGCAGAGATGGTCAGCACAGCTGTAGCACATTGAATTTGAGAGGCCAGTACTGGACACACTGGTAGTGAAGTTGGGAAGTTATGATGTCAGCCTTTTTTTTTTTTTTTTTTTTTTTTAAAAAAAAAAAGAAAAGACCAATCTATCTCATCTCTGAATCTCTCTCAAGAGCAAGTGACACTTGAAGTGTCATAAAGGGGACAGGCTGAAAAAGATTCAATGTTGCAAAGCATTTTCTTTCCACTCTGCTGAGATCCTATGCTTAAGAGAATCCTAAAAGCAACAGACAAAGCAGTTTACAGCTAAATAATTTCTGTGCAGAAGAAAAACCAGTACAACATACTTTCTAAGGCTTCAGCTGAGTGACCTAGCTATCCTGTGCTTCAGTCATCTGGAGAACATTCAGGCAACTTGGAAAGTAGCTCCATGCCAAGCATTCAACAACAAAGAGCATGCACTTGGACTAATTTAATCCCTAAGGCAACTCAAAATTTCAAGAAGCTGTGTCTATAGCAAACTAGGCTTTTCTTCTATATTTCAGTGAAGAAGTTGGATTTTGCATTAACTAGTAGCACGCTGAGGAAGAAAAGAGGAAAGGAAAAGAAAAAAAAAAAAAGACAAACTGGTGAAAACAAGACTTTGCTGTTGTTTCCAGAACCAATTCTGTAGTTTTTAAGAGAAAAGATCATTGAAAGCTTTCAGACATTGCCATTTCAAAGGATGATTAATTTGGGGATTTCATTTAGTGTTTTACTGATCAAAGTGGAATTTTTATGTACTAATTTTGGTCCTGCAGAAAAGTAATAGCAAGGCTCATAGAATACAGACAACATCCCATTTTCCTGATGCTCCTATGAGGAAACGTTGGATACTCACAAAGAACTCTGCCTGGAGTATGAAAGGATCCAGCGCTTTCTTGTGCAGTTCCTCTTCAGTAAGAATGTTTGATGCTGTCTGGAGGTATTCTTGAGCTGACTGTTCCCGTGGTGACATAATATAGCCAAAACCTTGCTCAGAACAGCCTGGGGTACACATATCTAGCGTGAGTGAAACATTTGAACCTCTCCTGCAAAACAGAGCAATCAGTTAGCTTACAATGGGATGGACTTCCCCATCATTACCAGCATGTGTCAGCAACAAATGCAGCCCCAATGACAGATAAACAACAACTTTAGAAAAGCACCCATCTGGTTCTGCTATGTATATTATTGTCACTACCTTTGAAAAATTGGCAATGCTTCTTGTCTCAACAAGACTGAAGATCATTTTGTGCACTGGAATACAAAGGCCAATATTATCAAAGTGTTTTCTGTAGTGAGGTGACTGTATTTTCTCACCTAAATGGAAGCATCAAAGGCACTGAGCAGGCAACTGGAGGAAAAGTTTTCATACTTGTGTAAATCACAAGGCTGAATATGGACACTCTAAACATCACAGGTGAAAAGCTTGGTCCTAGGTTTCTTTAGGCCAGATCCTACTGAATAACCATATCTTAGTAGCCCAGACAACATCGGGGGGGAAAATCTTGGGATAAACATTACCAGTTCAACATGAATCAATACATGAGATGCTAACCTTTACAGTGAACAACTAACCTGTTTAAAAAAAAAACAAAAACAAAAAACAACAAACTTTCTTTCAACGATAGTACATCATGAGAAGGTTATAAAGAAGGTCCCAATGTTTTAAGAGTTAAGAGCCCCTCTGTTTATAACCTAAGTGGAGGATTTTTAGTGGCATTTATACAAGTTAGCCACAACAACAAAATGAAAAAGCCAAAATGCCTGCATTGTTTATTGCATATTTTTAAAGCATTCCAAAGCTTCTGTCAATCTCACATATCACAGACAAAAAAAGACGCAAGTGCCATCAGGGAATGCGTATTTAAACATCTTTAGTGTATTAATGACATCACACCATACAATAAGTACTAGGTATAATGTTTATATATCCACACAGTAGACCTATTTTTGATGACTTTCACTCAGCTGGAAAAATCTACTTGGGAACAGTTTTTAGAAGCTGCTGAAAAAACATGTAAACACATGAGGATGACCAGCTCACAGAGAAATGGGTAGAAGTTGTTACTTGGATCACAGCCTTTTTCTAGATTCAGGAGTTTTTCCAAAAGCATGTGCAGCCAGCCACCTGCTGTAATTCACAGTCATGGGTAAATGATTTTGGATGAAATATGACTACTAGTGGTAGACATTGACTCTTTCGTGGTGCTTTTCAAAAATATTTTGACCCTATCATCCTGTGTGCTGTTAAAGAGGTACTACATCCCTCCCCCAAAATAACTGCATTTGATAACAAATGCTTTGGGTTCTTTTAGGGTAGAGGAGGCTACATATGTAAAGGTATGAATAATTCTTCAGCATGAGGAAATGAGATGGTCTCTTCATAAGAGTAACATTCAGTGCTGTTTGAATTTAGCTAGCAACTACTCTATTAATGGTGTGGGTGGTTAAGAATGAGAGGGAAGAAAGATCATAGATGCAGAAGCAAGATGGATTAAAAAGAGAGGGATGGATAGATAGTTTAAATACAAAAACACAAAGGAAGAGTGACCAATGCTTGATGTAAATTAAATTTCTCAGAGCATATTCCAAACCCCAAATGAGGTCTGGCTTCTCAAGCATGTGTATATTGAAGAGAAGTTCACTTTATGTCTTTGTATAACACATTCTACCTAGTGAGAGAACTTCAATCAGCTGTAGTCTTTTTCCCCATCCCTACTTCCTTGACAATTTTTAAATTTTAATTCACTACTTTAACTACTTGATATTCACTACTTCTCTTGAAACAGTGAGTATTTTCCCGAAACCAGCTGCCACCTGAGGAGAAATGTCAGCATCTTTAAAAAGAGAGATGGAATGAGATCAATGAAGCTTCAAAGCACAAATGACTGAAACATTTCAGTCTTGTCCATAATGCAAAAACGACAGCAAAGCTTGCTAATATCAGCAGGTTCAGGGACATGCACCCAAAATTACTGGAATCTCATATTTAAAGCAGAAGAATATAATACAAGAAGAAAGACATTTTACGACAAATAATGTAATCAAGAGTAAAGTATGAGAAAAATATTTTAAGCTCACAGACTGCAAATTAAAAGGCTCTGCTGTAACACTTTACTGTGTCACAGGGAGCTTTCGAAATCCGGTATTATACTTTTTTTTTTAATGAATCTAAGTTTTACTTTTTAAGTTTTAGACATGAGAATTAACTATGGAGAGCACTCCAACTAAGTTTGAAAAAATGGAAGTAAAGAAAGCTGATACCCTTCTACATTGGACCCTGCAATAAACTTGTTATTCATAACAACATCACCTTTCAGAATTTTTGTGGGATTTTTATTCAGAAGATTTTTGCTCTGTTTCATGAAGACAACTGAAAGAACAAGACAGGAAAAAAGATGCAGACAGCTAACAACGTAAACAAAGCCTTCCCATGGTCCACAGAAGATTTAAAGTTCCTGTCCTTTATTCAACTTCCACCTCAGAGATGAGGATACTAAATCTGGCGTACTTCCTTTTCACTTATGAACACTCTTTTATGATCGGTAAAATGTACTACAATAATCTTATGGATTGAAGTTCAATCCAACTGAACACTCAGCAACTCTGCTGAACCTTCCCCTATCTGTAGTCACGCATTCTGGAATTCACACACCTCTGGGCCTTTCAAATTTTGCCTATTACAGGTGACCTATCTGTGCGATGTATGAGTGAAAACATAGAAATGCAACACAAATCAATGTTGCATCACTCCTGCCTTCTTTTCAGCTCATCACTGCCCTTTCCCAGTTGTGCATCTCCCTGAAAAGCTCTGTTGCTTTCGTGGCTCAAGAAGTGAACATCAGCTCACCCTACAATTCAATTACTGGGTTAATTTCAGAGGAATTCATTTACTTTTTGACTAACTTAACTGATTTAAGAGAATTACAGCAGATTGCCATTTGTACTATGGTTTGCCTCTAGAGTAAGGAGTAATCCTTCAACATGAGTGACAGAAAAAGAATTAACCAGATCCATCTTTCAGTGGTAAAACCTTTCACTGTCCTATACTGGTTTTCATACTATGCAGTTGCTATCTTGGGGAAGGGCAAGAAACTGATCAAACAAATGTATCTTTCCAAGGAAATAAGTGAGGCTTTTGAACAAAACTTGTTGAGAGTCATCTGGAAATTGCACTTGTAGATTAATATGTTGCATATTTAGGACTGGACTGAAAACAGACAGGAAATAAAGCAGCTACTTCTGTTTAAAACCACATTTGAAAGTGACATTCATAAAGGTAATAAAGCTTCCTACAAGGTACAGAACTAAGCCCGCAAAATCTGGGACCAAACTTCCCCCTATTTGTTACATCTACCCTACCTTTCTTGCAAGCCCACGGATTTAACCGTTAGAGTAGTTGGATCTGTCTCCGCTTTAATGTCCATTACGCAGTCAAAGACCGGGGTCTCTGGTACGGGATCCAAATCTAGGAAGTCATCCTCATTTTTATCCTCTGTCCACTCTGAGTATGTGAATGAAGGCTGCCGGCTCACAGATTGGCGTCTGTCCTCTTGTAGCGGAAAGGGGGGATCTGGACGGGCTCTGAGCAGATGCCGAAACTGGAGGAAACAAACATTTAAAAACCTTTCTGTTTGATGCCAGCCCTTCCATACAATCTGGAGGATGGGTCATTAGGGCAGCATCCCAACTCACTGTAACATATCAGGATTGGGTAGTATCAAAGGACAGGAATGTTCCATGCAGGCAAAGCTTTGTGGTGTGTTGCAGGAATTCACATCCACCCATTCAAACCTGCTTTCAGGCACAGAGGTTTCTACGGAGCTGGTTAGGCTGAACTCAGGGATAACAGTGGAAGCAGAATGTGCTTGTGATCATCACATGCAAGCTGTGACACCACTGTCCTTTTGTTCACTTTCTTACCTTTCCTAGATTTGTTTACAAAATCAAAATCTACTACACTATTCCACAAATGATACCTCTCCTGAATTAATGTTGTTTTCCACCTAACAATTTGATATACTTGGGTTAAGAAAGGTAAATATAATTTTCCTGAACTGCACATCTTTGATAACCTGACACCATAGCCTAAATTCATATATAAACCAATCATTTTTAGAGACCTTGAGTTTTAATGCACCTCATTTTGAGACTCAGAATGCCTATATCATCATTTTTTGGCCAGTGGTGAAGCCTGTTTAAAATCAGACAATTAGGTTACAAAGCATGACATAATCACTAAATAATAAATCTTGCACAGTTCTAGGACGTATGCAATATTAAAGTTGAATATTTAGCATTAATGAAGGGATTGAAATAGCATAAACCTAAAAAAAAAATCATATTGTTTTGCATTGGTGCTGTGCCAGACTAGATGATTTTGAGATATTATCAGTGGGCTGTTTAATTCTACACATGGACCATAAAAATTAGAAGTCCATCTCTGAATTCCAGTATCTGAAACTTCATGCCAGCTTTGTCCCTAGCATTGAACTAGGAGCAGTGTCACTCAAGCTAGGATTACACAAAGTGTCTTGTACAGCCATGCAGCCTTCTGAGACTAAGAAGAGTGGGTTGCATTTTTTGAAGTTAATATTTGTCTTTTTCTTATATAGCTTTTAAATGGGTAGTTGAATTTAGAAAACATGCAAATAAAAAGGTCAAATTTGTCTTCCTAGGCTATGAAAACATGTTAGCTTGTGCAGGATTTTAAACAACAATTTTCTTGTGTGTGTCATGTACTCTTCTTTCTCTAAGCCTACAGAATGAAAAGTGAAGCAAGTTTTCATTTCTGTCCACAGTCAGTTTTAGAGAATGTTAGATTCTCACAAAGCAGCAGTATTCAGTTGACAGTTACTTCAATCAAAATGTTGTTTCAGTTAATCAGGATACACAGCAATTACAAAAGCAAACAGAAACATGCTTGCTAGACTTATATTCTATACAAATTTGGGGCCAAATCTGTCCTTCACGCTTGGCCTGTTGGGTGACAAGTGAGAAGCTTTAAGATCTGATTCTATTTTCATTCCCCAAGATGACTTCTGGAGTTTGGCTGTCCCCCAGTACTAGCCATGATTCTTACACATACCATGCGACTGTGATATCCAAGCGGTTCATAGTGCAAAGTACATCAGCTCGGCAACTTGATACTGCTGGAGAGTACTGTCATTACTCTAAAAACCTGTTCAGGAGGACTGGACAGTGCTATGTTGGTCCTCTGCAGCAGCTGGAACCTTAACACACCATTGTATAAGGCAGAAAACAACAGCATCGCTACCACAAACCTCAAACACACTACCCAGCCTCTTATGTGATCGCTTGCTTCCCAATGTGTACTGGTATCTGGGCATTCTCTGAAATGCGCCTCAAACCATAGCTGAGGTCTGCCCTCCTGAGAAATTTGTTCAACTTGTAACGCAGTCACAAATTCCCTGATACAGGAGTGAGCTATATTTTAGTACGTACACAGACAAGGCAAGACAGGGCCCCAGTTCTCTTTGTATCACTTCTGAAAATCCAATTGACTATCATTTCCTCAGCATTGTTTGGTGGCCCAATAGTTATTATTCTACAATAAGGCAGTGAAGTAGCTATGTAAGTAAGTGTTTCTCCTCCCTTCCCCAGCGAACTACCAAAATATTAGTGTAAGTTACCACAGTTGCTAAATAAAATATGCATAGGCTGTTTTAACTGACATGCCATCTTGTATACGTGTTGGCATGGGACTGACGTATCAAGTCCATCTATAAAGAAACAAGGGTACATTTGGTGAAGAAAGATTTCATTATAATGGTGCTCCTCAATGTAAAACACCCCTTTCTATGCACAAAGTCCTTTCTGGGCATCACATCACTTAAAATCCAGAGGGAATGAAAAAAAGATCTGAGTGTACTGGGTTCACACGGCAAGGGTTTGGTGGCAAGGGGGCTGTAGGTGTGGCCTCTGTTAGCAGAGTCCAGCAGCCACCCCATGTCAGTTCAGAGCCACCTCTAGTCAGCTCCAAAGGAAATCACTGCTACCCAGAGCTGAGCCAGTGAGCGATGTTGTTTGCACTTCTGTGAGAGAAGTTTTAAGAAGGGGGCTGCTTTTAGTTTCTCACTGTTCTAGCCTGTTAGTAAGAGGCAATTATATTAATCTCCCTATGCTGAGCCTGTTTTGCCTGTGACGATAATTTGTGAGCGATCTCCCTGTCCTTATCTCAACAATAAGCCTTTTCCATCATATTTTCTCCCCCTTTTCCTTTGAGGAGGTGGAATGAGAGAATAGTTGTGGTGGAGTTCAGCTGCCCAGCAGGGTAAAATCATGGCACTGAGACAGAAAGAAAATAAAGAAAACTGCCTTCATGCAGCTGTCTGCTGTCCACCAGGCTAGGATTTTAGAAATCCTGCTTAGCTCCATCACTGTGGTATTGCCAGTGTCTTACTAATGATTATTTTAAACCTGATTCCCTAAATATCGGTAGAAACCGATGTTTACAAATTGCAAATCAGCGTGACCAGTGATGAGAAGTAAGGTAACAAGTAGAAATGGACCAGGTTCATATGATCTCTAAACACCCACTCCTAATGCCACTGTCAGAAAAAAAAAAAAAAAAAAAAGGTACTGGGAGAGATAGACCATTGCTCTGCACAGGACATTACTTATGGTCTGGTGCTCTGTGAATTGTCCAGAGAACAGGCTGTCACAGTGACATTCGTGCCTTAATCCACCTAGGACCTGTCCATTAGTGCAGACCATATGATCACAAAACAGAGCAAACTCAACTACAGGGAAGCTGTTATAAAACTGCTTCTGTGCAGAAGTTTTAACTAACATGTAACGAGCCCAATCAGTTCTCGTTTACACTGGTAAAAATGTTTGTTTGCAAGGCAATGCTATAGATTCAAAGCAGTTAAAACTGAGTGAGATCAGGATTTTTGGGCACAAAACTCTTGTTTGAAGTTACTTTCTATCCTAAGAATAGTTTGACAATAAAATGTTTCCATCCACAACAAATAGGCTGGATATACAGAGATAACACACCCCTGCTATTCTGATTTCCAGCTCAGAATGTTTTGCTGAACAATTAACTGGAATGCACACAGTTCATCAAAACCCTCAAATGTCATTTTTCTCCATTACTATTTACAGTCACAAAATCACCAGATGAATTTTTGTCCTCAAAAAATAAACATCTGGATAAGGAACAGCAGCATCAAAAAAGCAGAACATTACATAAGCCAGGCTAACTTCCTTGCCTACATCAATGATCACAGTAACGCAGACATTAACACTAACTACTTTGCCTTGAGAACGGTTTTTAAAAGTATATCATCTTACACAGTAAACATAAGATTTTGCCACTATGCTGCCTCTGAGCAAACTTCACCATGGAATATAATGTGACAAACTTCATACCAGGTGACATCAGGAAGAGCATGGCCAGCAGATTAAAGCAGGTATTAGCCCACTCACCTTGGCACTGGTGCAGCTGCACATTGATTAAATAGCATGTCCAGTTTTAGGTCCTCCAGTTTAAAATAGATATGAACAAACTGGAGCAGGCCCAGTATAGGGGTACAAAGAGGTCAGGGGTGTGGAGCACATATCTTTGAAAAAAGTGGAGAGAATTGAGCATTTTCAGTCTGGCAAAGAGGCAGCCAAGGGTGATGCAATGGAAGCCTGGAACTACTTCAAGGACAGCTATGGACCTGATGCAGCCAGACCCTTCATACAGCTGATACCACAAGGGACAGGGGCCACAAGCTGCAGCTTGGGAAATTCAGATCAGACATTAGGAAAATCTTCCTCCCCAAGTGTGCCATATTGTTAAGGCACGGGTACCTTGAGAGGTGGTACATCTTATCTTCCCTGGAGGTTTTCAAAACCTGTGTAGAATAATGCTTGTCTGACTGTATCAAGTATTAGCAATAGCCCTGCTTCAACCAGATGTTGGATTAGCAAACTCCAGAGGTCCCATCCAACCAACAGTCCTTGTTATTCTATGATACACTTCATTACATTGCACATCACTTAAACTGCATGTACTCAGCATAGCTTCAGCTTCCTGAGCTGCCTGAAGATGCTGTAGTGCCAGCCATAGGCCAGGAGGCCATGTTCTACCTGCACTCCCACTTTAACAAAACAACATAGAGGGGCAAGAAACACCCTACTCAGTTAAAACTCCTGAAGTGAGAGATTTCTCCCTAGCTTTCCCATCTAGTGCACACCTTTGTGCCAATTACACAGTCACACAGAAACACAACATAGTGCTCCTGCTCCCCAGTGGCTGACAGTTAACTAGATTAATTGTAGTCATGCCACTAATATTGTTTTGCAGCTGGGGCCTTGGCCTATATCTACAAGGGCATTGCACCTGCAAGTGCCCTGGTGCTCTGCACCAGCTCTTTCTGCCACCTCAGACAACAACAGATGCTCTGTGGTCAAGTCATAAGGCAGCAATTTGAGATGGTTCCTTTACTGGGCCACATCCCTTCTATTCTAAGTGAAAACATTTTGCCCGAGGACGAAAAGAATAAAACCCATCAGTGTAATCCACAATTCATCAAGAAATGGATTAAGGATAAGTGTAGTCATGATTTCTCTATGTAAGTCATGCCAAAAGTTACATAGAAATTTCCCAGATGTGGTTTTAAAATCATCCTAAGCATAGCGTCAATAGCTTAGGGTAAATTAGACATCTTTCAAAAACTTGCTGAAGAAAGGGCACAAACACAGTTTGCGCAGTACTGTACTTACCAGAGATCCTACAAGTAGCAGTCCTAAAGATGCTAAAGACAGCAGGATATATGATACCACAACACTCCCAATTCTAGTCAGGTCCTGCAATACAACAGAATTGATAATAATTATGAAGTACTTCAGAGCGCAGTATAGTCTCTGCATACATGTTTTTTGGCAGAGAGTATGCATCCATTCTTGGATTTTCCATGTGGATTAGTCATACCCTACTCTTGGTTGTGGAAAAGCTACCACCACCACCAGAAAACTGCCAGGCTTTGGAGAAGACTGAAACTATCTGTGAAGGTCTGAAAGCCAGATTCTACTGTGAAGGCTGTTGCTGAAACAGTAAATCTGCTTCCTACCCATAAATATTTCCAAAATTGAGATCTGGATCCACTACTGAATTTTGCAAGCTGGACCCAAGTTTCATTGCCACAGTCAGCCTAATTTTATCTCTTGGCAGAAGGCTCTGAATTAAGTTTAGTACTGTTCTGTGTTTGTAGGTCCTTACTAAAAACACAGCCACAGAGGATTCTCCTGCATTTTCCATGCATTCTGTTGAATGTCATCAGGTTCATTCGCAGTACTTGCAGTGAAATTCATTCTAATGCCCTGAGTCATATTTAAGTAGTTCAGAGTCCAGCCTCATTCTCAGCAATATGTGCAAAATGCTAGAAAGAAATTCAGAGTTAAGAGTTTTATTTAAATGTCAAATTTCTTTGCCTTTACTGTTCTCAAGTATAAATTTGTACTGTAGATAGTGCTATAATAAACAGTTCTCAAAGATATGCATGAACATCTGCACAGAGTCATACTCGGGGTGTTCCTGCAGTGCATTCTAGGAATCACTTTCCTCCACACTGAACTCACAGTACATTTATTTTCAGTTAAAGTCCTATAAATCAACATTTTTTTAAGGAACAATTTGTTAATGATAGGCCCACTGCAAATAAGATACAGGCAATGCTCTATGAAGAGCTTTGATTATGCATCATAATAAATCCAACCAAGCAAGGACAAAGAGAAAGTGCTTCTTTCAAATAAAGAAAAGAACAGGTGACATGCAGCTCAAACACTGTTAAGGGAACACAGAAAACAGTCTCCTCTGTACTTCAACCACAAGAGGCACCGACTCAGATTTCCTGTTTGTAATGCTTAGCCTCCTTTACAAAGATCATGTACAATGAATCTAAACATTCTGATAACAATTATATTTCACCTGATTTTTGAAAGTAGCTGCTCACCATTTAATTAAGGTTCTGTCCACGCTAGCAGAATCTGCACTGGGTATAATTACCCCAGTAATTAATCAAATGAATCATACCGGTATATATGTCATTATGTCATGGTGAGAAGTTAAGCAATTTTACTGAGGTAGCTTTGAAGATATAATTGTATCCATACTCCTAGTACACCTGAAATACTTTTACCACATCCAGATATGCTCTAAACACTCAAAAAAAAACAAAACAAAACAAAACAGAATTTTGTGACAGAGTATCTTGTGATCTGCACCCGCTATGCAGCTTCATTCATTCTTCCAGAATTTAAATTTTCATCAGTTCTCGTAAATGAAGTTCCAGCTCTTCTTTTATGTCAGCTAAGCCTTACAGGGTTGACTTCTCATTACTTTGTTTCATTTGCAATCATTTGTACATTATAAGAAAATCCACTGAGCTGATGTAACATCATAAACAAAAATTTAGCCCTGTTTCTTGAAAATAAAATGTGAAAGTGCTTTCAGAAAATGCTTTTCAGAACATACACACAATGCAGTAGTCACAACATTAATCTGAATACCTGTGTATCATACATGTAGTCTAAAGAGATATTGGAAACATCATCCAAAGGTACTGACATCAACCATATGGTCAGAGAGAAGAGCACAGGGACTTACCTCCCCCTGATCTGACAAAAATCGTTCAAATGGGGTAAGTAGGTAAGACAGCAGGTCAAAGGCATTCTGAGCTACTGGGATGGTCCCATAAGTGCTGTACCACAGCATCATGCAGAGAAGCTGTGCAATCAATCAGAAAATACATAATGAGTATCCCTCATTATACAAACATTCATTTTCATTTCAAGACAGCATAATTAACTAATTTAGTTCTCATTGATTTTATGTTGATCACCACTTTTGCTTTCAGAAGTCAGATATTTTCTATGCTATAGCTTAACAACAAGACGACGACTGAGGGCTAAATGCTCAGCAAGCATGAACTAGATGCTTATCGGTGAGTTCAGCAAGCTTACTCTGATCTATACTAGCAAAGTGTTTGCCCACAGTAGTCTGTGCATCAAAAGAGAAGAGATCCCTCTGATTTCTGAGCTTTCAGCATTATCACTTTTAAATCAAAACTGGAATTCAATGAACTTGGTGTTACTAAAACGTCTATCTCAAACTATGCAAAGCTCTTACAAATAGCCATGTTCATGTACTTATCCCTATAAAAATATATACACACACATATTGAAGCATTTCATTTGAATCACAAGGTTGCTACACTCACCACAGTTAACATAAAATGACAAAAACAATGATGTTACATTTAGCACCCTCACAAAGGGGTATACCCTCACTTCCTAGCACAAAGGACACACTGGAATGAACCTTAAAGGGTATACTTACCAGTTCACTTTTTAATAAAATTGTTATTTACCCCCAAACATATCAGCTGCAGAAAACTGATCAGTTGTGAGATTGGCTATTTTACAAAGGAGGCATTTTCAAAGGGGCAGGGAATGGGATGGGAATCTGGGACATCCAAAGGCAAAGGCTGTTTGCAAAGCAAGGCTGTGGGAGGTGATTGCAGCTCTGTCCACTGCTATGCCCACCACTAATGAGGAGGAATCCTCCCAAGACAAGAAAGCTTGAGAGAAGGGTCCCAGCATTTCAAAGTGATGACAAGCTTCCTTACCAGTATCTGCGAGAGGACAAACAGATACATGTTGTCTCCCGTCATGAATCCATTCCACCAGGCAGCCCAACCAAGCAATGCTGTTTTCTGGGAGGCTTTCAGGGACTGCTCTTTCCTGTTCAGCTGTCCTTGTTGTCCTTCAGCTTCATCCATGGACTCCATTGCAGCTGGATTGGAAAGACCTTCACATGAAAATGACATGTGCAGGGAATGAATAGCACATAACCCTGCAGCCACTGCGGAGGCTGCAAGAACTATTGTTTTCCTAAAGACGATGGTTACCTCTCAGTTCTGCATCAGTAAGTGCGGCTCAGGATTGCGAGCGTCACACTCTATTAGTGCAGCTGTATTCACCTGCCTTCGTCAGAAAAAAGTGAGTGTGGGCGGATAAATTATTTTCCCTTTCTTTCCGGAGGTGCAGATTCTGGGCTTTGTTGTTAATGCATTCTCATTTACATCGCTGTACCTTTTTGTTTTTACTTTTTTTTAAAGGAACCATCTGTGCTACTTCCTAGCTCCAGCTGCGTGATGGCAGAGAATCCATTTTGTCCCTCCCTGCCTCAGTTTCTTCCTTTCCACCTATTTGTCTGTTTTGTCTAATTTGATTATAGATTTCCGGATTTTTGGCTGAGTGTTCTATGGCACAGGCTAAGTCTAAAAACTTACTTTGTGGATGAATTTGTACTTAAGAGCTATTTTAATAACGTTATAATGCTATTCCATTCAATAGAAATATGCACTGGAGTGGTAAGTCCCTCAGTAACAGCTTTTTGAACACAGTATGCATAGACATTAATTAATTTACAAGATAAAAGGACTAAAAGATCAGACCTATCCACTGTAAATCATCCTGATTTACACCTTTCCACACGATGAAAATCCCAAGGCTGCTCTATGTACAACACTATTCTTAACCCTAAATTGGCTCTGTGTGCCCCAGGTAAAAGCCACATTGTTGGCACTTCTGCGGTTGGTCAAGGTCAGGTTTCTATAGAATGCTCTCTTCATCAGATATTTCTCTACAAGTCTTGGAATAGTAACCCTGTGTTGGATAAGCATCCAGAAACTAGCCACAGCTCTAATTAGGAGAAAGAAACATTGGATTCATGTATCATCTGAGGGTCTGGTCATCTGTACAATAAGGATTCATAGAAATCTGGCATTCTGATTTCTAGAACACAAAATCGTGAGAGTGGGCAGGAACATGAGCTTTTAATTTCCACAAGCTGTTAATTTCCTACTACTCCATAGTCTTTTCTCCCCTTGCCAAAACGGACCTTAGGACATGCCTCCATAAGAAAACAAGGCATTTGGGAAATGTTAGTGGCTTCCTACAACGCTCTCCATTCCCACAGCTACTCAACAGCAAGAGGATCGTCAACATGCAGTGACTGGGGAGACCCAGAGATGAATCAAAAAGGAGCACCTGCAAGGTACTACCTGGTACTTTCAGTAAAGTTCAGGTTATTTGTTTCTTATATTCAAGATATTTCCACTCAGTTTGTGAGAGGGAGTAGCCCCAGCAGGGTATGCTGGCTCTAAGTGGATCTAGGTAGCTATTTTCGTTGTCATTATACAGGTATTTCTCAGGAAACACTAAGAACACACATCTAGAGAGACATACACCCAGGTATGTATGCCATTTTCATATTAATCATACAGCAATAAAATGTGCAGAAAATATGGAATTAAAAAGGTAGTATCAGAAACGTTAACCAGCCTGTATTTCTCAATAGTAAGTTTCCTTTCACTTCCATCTACGCATCCTTAATGCTGGAAGAAAACAGTTTGAAAAATAGCACTTGTTAATAAAAAGCAGACAATTTCTGAAATACAGCTGAAGAGGTCATGGGAACTCTGCCTCTCCGCCCTTCAGGCTCCAACCAGTAGTGCACAGCCCATGTCAACCCCACCCTCCAAGAAACACACACAGCCCAAAAGACGTCCTTCATGTCCAGAGACACTGGCCACATGCTTAACATCTGACCTCTGATACCGTGCTACATAGAGCTGGACACAAAGATCTCCATGAGGATGACACAGCAGTCATGTCTATAGTTAAGGCTGCATTATAATTAATACTTTCAATGTTGGCCTTCATTTTCATATTCCACAATGAGTTAAATTTGAAAGTTTCCAACTCTTCAGACTGCTTCATATCTCATTGGATCTAGAATAGGACAAAGGGAAACCCCTTGTTACTATTTGCCTATTTTTTTTTCCTGCTCTTTTTGTGGAATGCTTATGCTATGCGTTTTGGAACAGGAAGTTGAAATTTAGCCAGGACATAATCTTGATGTCTGAAATTATGTTTGCCATCCATGCAAAAGGCATTCACATGTGGCTGAGATAAACCTACAAGAATGTCTATTTACATAGTTTATTATGACTTGCTCGAGTCTCTAACCTGTTTTCACTAAGCATGGTTTAAGTCCCACTTTTCCTCCATCTGCATTAAATAATGTACTTCAGTCCCTGAGAATGGCTGAAGAGTCTTTCACTGTCATTCCAAATCCTAGTGATGGCCTTTGTTGGATGCACCTTCCTGAAGCTCCAGATAAAATATGTGCAAAGCACAACTAAAATATCTTCAGGAAGACAACCAGAGCAAGGAACCAGAGAATACAGATGTCAAGTCCAGCTTTCAACTAGTTCTCATAAACTCATAATATTTCATATTTCAGACTACTTCTTTTTTAACTGACCAAAACCTCGTTTACCTTGTTATGCAGCAGGTAAATAGAATGTCTTCATTTCCTATCTGTAACAGCCTGAGATTTTACAAGGCCAGTCATTTCTAAGCTGGAAGCAGAACCCTGACTCCAGATGACGATGTTAAGGGCACTTAACCACACACCTTCTGGAACAAAGACGTCAAAGTTAGGGGAGTGCTGGGTCCGTAACCATGGGGATCTATGCCTCTCCAGAGCCAAGAAGCCCAATTCCCAGTATTCCAGTGTTGTCTAGCAACAGATGTACGATTGTAGGAGTCAAGTTCTTCTTCTGCCCTATATGAAGGACAATAGACTACTTCTACTATCAGTTAATTTTTTACTGCATGAGGTAGAGATCTGCTCTATTGACCTAAGAGCCACAGATTCCTGCTATGCTGAATTGCTTCTGTTCAGCTGCTATCAACAGGTGTTTTCACTGTTACAGTAAAAATCAACAGCGGCACTAGGTCAAGAACTCAAATACTTGAAAACTGTCAGAATTCACATGTGTAAATGTATATATTAAGAATCATGTCTTGGATATACAAAGAATTTAAGTTAGATTAATACAAGTCCACTAAAATTTAGTATTCCAAATCCCAGAATATTAGATTTTAACAAACGTAGTGATGACCATCTAGGATTTTGTATTGATTTAACTATGTCTGTGTTAGACAATACTTCAGTCATCATTCAAACTTCATATTACAACCCTATATTCATGTATTGCTTGCAATAATGGGGTTGGGGTTTCTTTCAGTGCACAAATTATATGTCTCGTGAGTGAGACATTGGTAAAAGTTTTCATGTCAAGGTCAGTGGGAAGGTCTTGAGAGAGATGACAAGAACAACTATATCCAGAAGGAGTCAGTTATGCCTCACCTCTGAGCGATTTGACTGACAGTGAAATTTAACATCCATGTGATAGCCTCCTGAATCCCTGTCCCATGATGCAGAAATTCAAGTTCCACCAGTACTTCTCCTTCGACACAGGGCTAAGAAAAAGGATTTGCTAGAAAAACCCTTTGGAGGAAGAACTAAAAGGGCTCTGATATCTGTATCAGGCATACTCCTTGTTAAAGCAAATTGGAATTTCAAAATAGCACTGTGAACTTGACCATCATCCTTGCTGTTCAGGGAAAAATAACTTTCTGAATCAAACTAGCGATACACCCATCCTGTATTCTTTCCCTAAACACAGCCACCAGAGCAAGTTGCCAAAAATAAATGACACAACAATTTGCTAAGGAATGATCTATACAGGGGAACTTCTTCATCCCCTCACAAGGTAACAGTAGGCTTCCATAACTCAGAATATATCTATTTCTAAACTCCCTTTACCTCTCTTTTTTTGTTGTTGTTTGCTTGTTTTTTGACTCTGCATATGGGTACAGATAGGGCAGAAGAATGAAACAAGAATATATACACACTCTTGGAAGAAAGCCACACACTTGGAGTACCAGACTTAGCTGGAACACTAAATGGCACTGTAGTAATGGAAGTATGATGACAATGCCTTGCAGTAACAAATACACCATAAACCAATTGAATGCCACTGTGGACAAGGCAGCAGCAGCTCTGTAACTCAATTGATTCATATTTAGAACCATCACAGGAAAAAAAACAACAATCCCCTCAACCATGTATCCTGGCTGTATTTCTTAACAAATAGGAAACACAGGACAGACAACAGCAAGAAAAAACAAGAAGAACATCCACTCCATGCTTCTTACTGTGGGTGCTGTCCTTGTGTCAGGAATGAGCAGAAGTAGCTTGGGGCAGTGTAGCACAGGTAGGCAAACCATGAGCTCTGTGAAACTACCTGCCAGATGCACAAGGTAGAAAGGAGAAATGGGCCTCGCCTATATCACCAGCTCTCAAGCTGCAGCAGCCAGCAGATTGCAGCAGCTCAGCAACACTGTCCCATGTTTGTGCTAGGTGTGAGGAAGATATATACCTTTGTCAACCTGTTAACATCTCCACGATGACTGTACTTAACAAGAATTTACACTGAAGGGTGGGACCAGAGTAGGAAGCATTGCTAGCTATGAACATGACAGCAATACTTAACATCCAGCAAAATTACAAACACTTTACATCACAGACCTAAATCCATATATAGCCTCTACATCTTCGGGTATCAAAATGCAACTCTCTATTGAAATCACTGTCTCAGATTTCCATCTAATTGCTAGGAAGGTCTGCCATTGATTAGAGAACATTAACTGAACGTATGCTACTGATACAGGTCTGCAAAGCTTGTTTTCACATGCATTGAAATTGCATATGCAGGACATAACCCTGGTTTGGTACTTCACCTAGCCGGTAAGGAACCCATTAAATCTGCAAGTCATTAGACATTGGTTTCAGTGAAGTCCAGATGCTGTTAAGACACATCCAACATGGATGAGCTGCCTCGGGGAATACACAAACATGAGGCAGCTTGTGCTGCTGTAGTGTAAAAAGAC